TGTTTTACTTAATGGGTGTGAGGTGGAGGTCAAGGGAGGGATGAGGACAAACCTGATGCTCAGGTTTCTTCCAGAAGACCCCTCCCAGATTATGACATAACATTGATGTATATATGATGTATGTATGATGCTTCACTAAGGGTGTTGTGGGTAAAAAGGGAAAGTTATATAAAAAAGGAGCTATCCTTTGTTCTGGGCTCCTTTCTGCTTCTTCCATGTGGTAGTTGGAAGTCCTGTTGCAACAGTTCCTTGAATAAAGATCATAACCACCCTACAATTGAATCAGAAAGAATGCTAAATAAAGAGTGGACATTGCATAACCTCCACACAAGCTTTGTGCAAGCAAATCAGACCCAATTTCTCAATAGCCAGGTCATTCTGGATTTCCTGCAAGTGGTAATAATGGGAGCACACAGCAACATCAGTATGTATTTACCAATATTTCACAGAGAGGTTATCTATGACCAATTATGGCTGATCTGTTCACAAAGCAGAAGCCTTTATATATGTCATTAATTTAAAAGTTTTACAGTAAAATAGTCAATATGTTTTGTATGGGATGCAATGTAACCCCATCATCTCCAATATTTTACAGCCAGAACTGAAATGCAGACATTTTTTTAAAATTCTGGCCTCCTTAAGCTACTTTCCAAAGTAGCCAAAAGAAGATAGTAAGGAATGCCTTTGACCATTCTTCCTACTGAAATTAGTTTTTCTGATGGCATATTATTATGATAGGTCATATTATTAAACCATTTAGTAAGCAGAGCAGTAATATCTAACAGGTTGTTAAAGTAGCCTCTGAAAAGATGACAGCTGAAAATGCATAATAGATTTATCATAGTCTAATCACTTGCCGTATTTATTTTGCAACTTTCACAAGCTGATATTTTGTTATAAATTGTTAGCTAATTAATATAGCAGAACATAAAACTGTTGCAGGGTCAAGCTACTCACATTACACTGTTTGATTGCAGCCCTACACATTTACTGGCCAAACAACAACAGCAAATATTTTCAGTGACGTTTGAATATGAGCTTATGTATTTATTGACTGACAAATCTATAGCCACACAAAATTCCTCACACATTAGTTACAATGAAGAGTACCCATCCACTTATTAAAGCGCAAAACTAAAATATTTAACTTTTGTGTTAGATAATGAGCAAGTTAATTGTATTTCTCACGAATATAAAATGTGTAATTACTGCTAATCTGCCTCATTTAAAGTAAATTTTAATTATATAAAATTATATAAAATTATCACAGTGGAGATAAACTGGCATTAGCAGAAACTTAACATAGTCAATAACAAACAAAATTTAAAATGAATAAATTAGCTAACAAAGTCATTCACACTGAAACCTGTGCAAACAAATGCAAAAAGAAGGTGCCTCTCTAAGTACTGAGACCTGGTTCACAATGAATACTTTACCAGCACATAGGAATCAGTGCTGGACTACACCATTGCACCCTCTCTTTCTCTGCATCTCAATCTTGCGCATGAATTTCCTATCTCCTCTACTCAGGTTTTACTGTTACATGAAAGTCACTTGTCCATGTTAAAATTAAGTCAGGGCCTCGCCTGCAGCACACACTGAAAGCAGTATCATACCACTTTCGATGTCCATGCTCCCCCCCCCCCCACCAATAAATTCAAACTAGAAATAATTACAGGTCCAATCTAGACTATATCAGGAGTGCCACTTTTTTAAAATAGCAAATGCAGCTATGGGTAGGATAGAAAGAGCACTAAGGATGAATGCTGTGCCTCATGAGGAAAATGGCACCTCTGTGGTCCTGATCCAACCCCCTCCACACCATGCAGCTTTAAATACTATAAAATGACACACAAAAGAGACCCAGTCACAAATTTCTTGATATCTCCTCTAGTTGTCCCTTGCTCTTAACCCTTTAACATAAAAATTACTGTAATATAAACTTCAGGCATTTGGAGGCGGATTAGATTATGAATCAATGTAGTGTTTCCATTGTTCTTTGCAGCAGTGCTCCCATACATTTAACACTTTTGCCCCTTTCATTCTGTGTACAATCCTATAAATCCAAACTGAGGGGCCTGGAGTCTGACAACTTCTGGAGGGCCACCAGTTCCCCACCTCTGCCACAAACCAAGAGTGAACTCATTTTCTTAGCATGAATTCTTCTGTTGCCAAACCAGCACCACCCACCCACTAGGAAGGACCATCAGGAGGCTTGGAGGAACACCAGGGTTTGCAGAAGCACATTAACAAAAGCCTATGGGAATTATTTAAAAACAACAACACCAAATTGAGACTGAGCATGATCAGTGGGCAGAGAATGCTGAGAAGTTTTGTTGTTGGGTTTTTTTGCGGGGGGTGGGGGAGAGGACAAAATATCACGGGGGGAGGGGAGGCATAATATGGAATTTCCTGGACAAGGGCATGACCTGGATCTAGAACAGGGGCATTCCATACTGCAACATTTTGTTGCAGGTGTCACCTGTGAAATCCTGGTAATGCTGTCCTTGTAACCACAAACAGAGGTGTCATGTGATTGTATTTTCAGTTCCATTAACAGAGTAGCCCAGAGTTAAAGCTGAAATCCTAACCACTCTTGCTAAGAAATAGACCCTACTGAACTCAGTAGGGCCCAATTCTGAGAAAACATGTATTGATTCAAATACGGTGGTACCTCGGGTTACATACGCTTCAGGTTACATACACTTCAGGTTACAGACTCTGCTAACCCATAAATAGTGCTTCAGTTTAAGAACTTTGCTTCAGGATAAGAACAGAAATTGTGCTCCGGCGGCGCAGCGGCAGCAGGAGGCCCCATTAGCTAAAGTGGTGCTTCAGGTTAAAAACAGTTTCAGGTTAAGAACAAATGAATTAAGTACTTAACCTGAGGTACCACTGTATTTCTGCACTGCCTTTCATATGCAATATACAAATTAATGTACAAAAACCAGAAAGTACAGTTTGGAATAGCATGGCCATGGCTAGGACAATGGCAAATAACATGGACTGGGCTATAAATTACATTTTAAAAAAGCAGGAAAGGGGCATTTAAGGAACTCTTGATATTGAAATCAATGGATCTGAAAGGTGTTTAGCTTTGGCTAGACTGTGCCTGCCTTTTCAAGTGCAAGGGGCCACCGATATATACACCACATCCACAGCTCTCCAACATTTCACTCACCTCTGTAACATCAGTAATTCCTCTGCAAGTGAAAATGTAAGTGTTCAAAAACCAAATAGCTTTGTGAGCCCCTTGAAATGTAGAGATGCAAGTATGCAGCTGTGACATATTGAACTATACAAGAGACATACCAATCCAGGACACTGCTATTTTCTTCAGGGTCACCCTTTTCTCCTTATTTGCAGACATCACACAAATTCTCAAGTAAGAAACCTGACAGCTCTGTCATCGGACTTTACAAAGCAGCTGATAAAACCTGACAGGGACAAGAATTATACAATGGTTTGGCTGTGTTTTTAAGAAAAGGCTCAGATGTTTTGCATGCAGCTCTAATGGAAAACGTTGAAGGTTTTCCCATCTACTTGCCATAATTTTGTTCATGCTCCGATACTGCTCTGCCCTCTGCTGGCCAGTATGTGGACTTGCAAAAAAAGTAAAGAATCTGCAAAAAGCAGTGAATTTATTGATATCGAGGAGCAGTCTTAAAAATTAGTATCCCAAATGACTAGCTGAAAAATGGTAGACCTTAAACAGTACTATAAGACCTGGTTTTAAAACTATGTTAAAATTCTTACAGGTCAAATAAAGCTTAAGTGTGTATGTTTATAGATCATCTTTATATGTACAAAAAGACTGCAATCTACTTGGATTTTACATACATGATTGCAGCTTTAGGCAAATTTTATGTGGGTGAGTGTAGCTTTATGCGGACTGCCAACCAAATAGAAATGGGGTAGGAAACCCTTGCTTACTGGGCTCTACTTTTAACCAAGCCATGCTGCAGAAACATTTACACTACTTCACTGGTCATGGAGCTCAAAACCTGCTCATTATTGTGTTGTACGCCCTTGCCTTTCATTATTTAAACTTGCCCTGACTTTGGGTCTTAGCTCTGCGCACAGTGGAAGTTTCTGCCGCTGAATTTGAAGTGCCAGTAATACAACTGAATGCTACTGTCTACTTTCTCCAACCTAGCAATGTCTGATGCTAAATTAAAGGTATTGGACTGCATGAGACAATGCTGTCACTGGAGACATTTCATTTCAGGCACTCTCCCCCACCTCTTGCTCTGTCTGTAAACAGCATGACAACTCTGTGCCGTATCAGCTGTAATTAAATATCATGTTCATTTCCTCAAAAGGGCCCCAGATGTTAGGAACTGATGAGAAGGAATTAAATTATTCAAAAAGCGATAATCTATACTGTATAGCAGGGGTCAGCAATTTTTTTCAGCAGCGGGCCGGTCTACTGTCCCTCAGACCTTGTGGGGGGCCAGACTATATTTTGAAGGGGGAAAGTGAACGAATTCCTATTCCCCGCAAATAACCCAGAGATGCATTTTAAATAAAAGCACACATTCTACTCATGTAAAAACACCAAGCAGGCCCCACAAATAACCCAGAGATGCATTTTAAATAAAAGGACACATTCTCCTCATGTAAAAACAGGCTGATTCCTGGACCATCTGCGGGCCAGATTTAGAAGGCGATTGGGCCAGATCTGGCCCCTGGGCCTTAGTTTGCCTACTGTATGCCATATAGGAAGAAAAATAAGCTTAGTAGCAAAACAAACAGAAATGACAACTTCAGAATATGCCACTTCTGCTCCTTGCTCTTGACCAACAAAAAATCAGCAGTGATCTAACCAAATGAGCAGAGATGCAACTTCTTATTTCAAGACTGATAATTTACTGCCCCCAGTCTTAAGAACACAGAAAGCTGTGTTACACCAAGTTGGACCATTCATCCACCTAGCTTGGTCAGCAGTATTCCCTATGATGACTGGTAGTGGCTCTCCAGGTTTTCAAGACAATCTTACCTGGAGATGCCAAGGTTTGAACCTGGGGCCTTCTACATGCAGAGAGTGATGGGCTATGCCATCAAGCCACAGCCTCTTCTTTTGCTTGTGTGTATATTCCTTCTGCTATCTTTCCCCAGAAAGAGTGATAGGGAATGAAGTTATAGGCAGCTTCAACAGCAGGGCTGAAGAGAAGTAAACGCCATGTGTGGTTGGAAGAAGCTTCTTAGAAGCTCTCCTTCACAAGTCATTCTAAGCAGGTGCTCTTACAAGTGGCACAGGAGAAAAGATCATGGATGCTATTTCTCTTGACAATGTGGGAGTTACAGAATGAGTGGGACGCCCCACTTCCAAATACCACAGGACTGGCTTAGCCTCCACCTCCCCTTTGTTTTTGTTTTTTACTTTAGAGCTTTCCCCATGATAACCCACACTTTAAAGCTGAATTGGAGCAAATGACAATCTGTGGAAAACCCGAATTGCACAGAACTTCGAAGTGCAGATGGGTGGCGTTGTGGGTCAAACCAGAGCGCCTAGGGCTTGCGATCAGAAGGTCAGTGGTTCGAATCCCCGCGACGGGGTGAGCTCCCGTAAATGGCATTTCTGTGTGCTCCTCTGGTTCGCCAGAAGCGGCTTAGTCATGCTGGCCACATGACCCGGAAGCTGTACGCCGGCTCCCTCGGCCAATAAAGCGAGATGAGCGCCGCAACCCCAGAGTTGGCCACAACTGGACCTAATGGTCAGGGGTCCCTTTACCTTTAAAGTGCAGACCTGTGTATGGAAAAAGCGGGGCAAACCGTAAGTGTGGATAAACCTGGAGTGAAGTCATATTGAGCACTAAGAAGTTCCAAAAGTGACCTTTTCTACTCTCCTTGCATCTCTGCCAATATATGGATGACGAGATCATTTTGAATGATTAAATAAGAATGCACTTGGATTTCCTGATGTAGCCCACAATACAGTTGAGAAGTACAGGGGAATCTGAGAAGTATTACCATTGCTTGGAAAGCATGACACCACACATGATGTTGAGCTGAGAAGGGGAAAGAGTGGGTGAATCACGGGAGGCAATGTTTCTACACTGTTTGCAAGGAAGGCATCTGTTCATTGTTCCGAGTGATGACTGACTATATTGATATGAATCTTTTTGAACCTAAGATCTTAAAAATCTATCTAGAAAGAAAAACACCACCTTGTGCCTCAGATATTAAAACTCTAGGAAATGCTGTACTATTATGTTCTCTTATTAGACTGGCTCTTGTACATTATTGTCATGTATGCCTCAGCTAGAGTTCATGTTTTAAATAGTGCCATTCCACAAGCAGCCTATGACAATGTGCTTGGATGTGTTGAAAGAACAGAAGATTTCCATACAACATTACTGAGCGCACATCCATCCACATTTATGTCACACCTGGTTTCCGTCATAGCCTAGGTGACAAGCATAGCAATGAAAGGTTTGATACAACTGGGAGTTTCATAGCCTATAGAATGACCAATATTTCACACCTAGGTTGCAGGAAAACTATTATAAAATGGATATTGACAGAGACGGATTGTCGACGCTGTAATATAATCTCATGGCTTTGATGATCTCAAACCTCTTGAGCATCATTTCACAGTTTATGGTACAGTATCATCACAATCCCTCAGAAGAATTACAGCTTTCTAACTAATCTCTCCCTATCGGTTACATGATATGGAAGCCATGAAGCTCAAATACAAAGAGGCTGTAGTATGAATGATTGCACTCAGGTCTCTTCCCCCCACCCAACAATATTTGTAAGTCTGGGAGTGATAAATGGCACATGAGTTATAAACGAGCAACAAGGTCAGAGCAACTGAAAGCAGGGAGTTCAAAGAAGTGCCACCATTTTAGAGAGTTCAAGAAGAGGCCACAGACTGACATTGTTCAATTATTCTTGAGGGGGAGGCACAAAATAATAAAAGACAGCAAGCTGATGAACAATAATGGCTTGTCACTGATAAACACTGCACAAGTTAGGACCACTTCACTTATGATATTTTTCCTGCAAAGGTAAAATAAAGGAAAACACCCCCACATTTGTACATCATCATTAGTGATTATTGCACAGATCAGCTTTACCCCACATAAACTGGTTTGGGACCTCCTCCAGCTCAGAGTATACACACAATCAACACATGTGGGTGCACATGAGACTTTCCCTCCCTACCCCACTGTCTATTCTTACAAAGGAAAGCATATATGTGAAGAGGCCTTTAGAATTACTTTGATGAACAGAACCATGATAACTGTCATGTTTAATGACTTTGGGGCAGAAAAATGAATGTTTTTCTTAACAACATGCTTTTTGTTATTCTCTGTTTTCATTTGCTTGATTTGCACACCACACCAAGCCAAAATATGAGTTAGCACAACTGTGCAGGCTCCAGGAAAGGAGATAACAACAATTTTGCTCTCCCTCCAGTTCTGTGTGTTGCTTACCATGCCATCCAAACCTGGGATCCTGGTTTAACTCTCATGGACAAACTGTGAGCCATAAACCATAGGAAAACTCATATTACATAAACCATAGTTACAGCCAGTTAGGATGGATCAAAAAGCCTCCCTAAAGAGTCGACACAATTGAAACACAAAGTAATTTATAATAATACAATTCACACTGAAGAGGAGTAGTAGTAGTAGTAATAATAAATAATAATAATAATAATTTCATTTTCTATACCCCACCCATCTGGCTGGATTTCCCCATCCACTCTGGGTGGCTTACAGAATATATAAAACATAATATAATCTAAAACTCAATATAATCCACACCTGCTAAAATTCCAGAGCTAATGTTAATATCAATAGTTATCAATGCCTAAATCTAACACAGAGTTAGCCATGCTTAAGCCCATCAAAATTGATTCAGGCCAATGAGTAGAAAGGTGAGTGCAAAAGCCCTATACACATATTATGCACACATTAAATGAGTTCTTTTGTAGCAGAGGTTTCTTGATCAAGTGTTGCATGAATGTATTTTTTAATATAAGCCCTTGATAAAGGCAAGCATGCCAAAATGCATTGGGCATATTTACCAAAAAAAAAAAATGGTAATGGGGATGACATGATGACATAGAGATGGCAGGCTCCACTCTCTGCCTGTGTGTTTTCTTCAGAACATTTGTAAAGTGTTCTCTGATGGACAACTGAGCACATGTTGGGATGGAGCCTGTTGAGATCATGTTGTACCACCAGTCTGTGAACATTCCTTAAATATATAGGAAACTGTATACATAGAGCTAAATCTCACCAAATTTTAAACCATTCAGTTCTCATAAATTTAACATAAACTTTTAGGACAAGCTACACTTTTAGCAGCATATGCAAATTTTGAAAGCTTCTGCTCCTCCACTGAAAGATGGGTGAAGGGACAATTAGCACAGGACAAGATACAGGCATGGGCACCCACAGGAATTTTTCCTGGGAGACAGAGAGCCAAATAAATATTTGAATTATGTCAACAAATATACATAACTAGCATGAGAGATGGACCATAAAGAAGGTTGATCGCCGAAGAATTGATGCTTTTGAATTATGGTGCTGGAGGAGACTCTTGAGAGTCCCATGGACTGCAAGAAGATCAAACCTCTCCATTCTTAAGGAAATCAGCCCTGAGTGCTCACTGGAAGGACAGATCCTGAACCTGAGGCTCCAATACTTTGGCCACCTCATGAGAAGAGAAGACTCCCTGCTGCTGTACAAGAATACTTATCGCTACTCCCTACTTATCGCTACTGCCTACAGCAGCAAGGATACTTATCGCAAAGCACTGGAAGACACAAGATCTACCTACCAAGGAAGAATGGCAGATGAAGCTGATGGATTACATGGAACTGGCGGAAATGACTGGCAGAATCCGAGACCAGGGAGAAGAGTTGGTGGAAGAAGATTGGAAAAAATTTAAAGTATATTTACAGAAACATTGTAAAATTAATGAATGTTAGAAGGATGCTGGAAAGAAGTTATACGACTTTAGTTGAAATGTTATAAAGAATTAAGTATGAATAGACCGACAATGGGTAAAGGTTAAACTTAAGGTTAAATTGCGTTAAGATAAATTATGGAACTAAATTTGAGAAAGAGGGAAAGGATTTGCTGGAACAATCAATTGAACTAGAATACAAAAAAGGAGGTGTGAGGAAGTCGAGGAAATAAGCAAATGAAAGATAAGGATATGAAAATACAGGGGTTTTCCTTTTTGTTCTTTTTTCTTCTTTTTTTCCTGCTATTTTTTTTAAAAGGTTTTTTTTTTAATGTTATGATGTATTGTTGATGTTTTGTATTATTGTATTTCCTTATGTTTTAGAGGTTTTGTAATTGTTTATTGCTTGTATTTCTTCTTTTTCTCTTTTCTTTTTTTTGGTAATATTTAAACTCTAATAAATATCTTATAAAAAAAAGAGAGAGAGAGAGAAGAGAAGGCTCCCTGGAAAAGACCCTGATGTTGGGAAAGACTGAGGGCACAAGGAGAAGGAGACGTCAGAGGACGAGATGGTTGGACAGTGTTCTCGAAGCTACCAACATGAGTTTGACCAAACTGCGGGAGGCAGTGGAAGACAGGAGTGCTTGGCGTACTCTGGTCCATGGGGTCACGAAGAGTCGGACACGACTAAACGACGAAACAACAACAACAGAGAACTGCTGTGCCATTTGGTGTTGATCTGGTATTTGTGACAGATTGACAATGACACATGGGTAGATCAGGCCTCAGAATAGCTAGTATTATAAGTTTCCACCTCCCTTATTTTTCAATGGATAGTCTGCTTCTTCAACCACAGATAGACCTGCTGCCCTAATTATGCCCTTCAGTTCTTTCCCTGGCTTCCTCCATCATGTAGTAGTACTACAATCAGCTTTACATCCATACACTGCATCTCCTGATCCAAAAACGGGATGTGGGGGGGACCCAGGATAAACAGCACTGGACAACCTGCCATACTCTAGTTCTCTGCTCCCTGTTTCAAAATGGGTATGACAATACTAGGTTACTTTGAAGGACTGGTGTGACCTATGCACAGCCCTCCTCCTTGTGATGCAGATATAATACAGGCATACCTCATTTTATTGTGCTTCAGTTTATTGTGCTTCACAGACATTGCTCCTTACAAGGACATGAGTACAGCTGCAGGCAACCTGGCCACTTCCAGGGGAAGGAAGGAAGCCACACACACACACACACACACACACACACACGGAGCTAACTAGAGCTGCAACTTGGTTTTTCCCTTCCTGCCTCTGCAGCCATGGGTCACTAGCTTTATAGGCTACAGTATGGTGTAAACATAACTTTTATATGCACTGGAAAACCAAAAAGATTGTGTGACTCGCTTTATTGTGATATTTTCTTCATTGTCGGTGGTCTGGAACCAAACCCACAATATCTCCTAGGTATGCCTGATGGTGGAATTTATCTGTATTGGCAATAGCAGGGGAACTTTTACAAACTCAGGGCAGAGGAATCACTCTCTTTTTGTGCTATGAAACAAGACTCCAGTTTGAAAAGATCACAAACTCCCATTTTTGCTGCTCATTTCCATTTTAGGGTACCTTTTGGCCAATCACAGCTACAATAAAACCTTGGATACATGAATTGTTTTCTCTGAAGCAGCAATCACTCTTCTACCACAGAAAATCAGTATAAAAGCCTTAAAAATGAACCAAGACGTTTTATAGGCAATGGATGTTTCACTTTGGCCTGCTCTGTCTCTGATGGACTAGATCTGCTTTCCTAAGTGTCAGTCATTGCTATGACTTCATACATTGAGTGGGGGAAAAAAAGTCGGGAACAGGCTAGTCTGTAGCAAAACAAATGACCTGAATAGTGCCTGCACATTTTGCCTCACATCTCAGGTTTGACTAGAAAAAAATCAAGGGAATCCATGTGCAGGTGGAGATATGTGATTAACCCTTTCCCCACCTATTTTTCCTCTTGTCACCTGCAGATGCTTTTCACGGAGACAAGATCCTCAGGTTTGTGCATGCTGCATGAGGTTGCAAAAGGTGACTGGGAGGTTATTGCAGAGAGGAAAGGAAGGAAGAGTAAAGCAGCAATTATCAAGCCAGATATTGTCTAACTATTCTGACAGGTAGTAGCTCCCTGAAATATCAAACAGAGGTCTTCATATCAGCCGCTACCTGATCGTTTTAACAGGAGACGCTAGAGATTGAACCCGGAATCTTCGGCATGCAAAGCTTGTGGTCTACCATTAGGCTACAGTTCCTTCTCTCTTCGAGTTAAAGGTTTGGCTAGAGTTAACCGGGAATTCTTCTCATTACTGTTCACTGTCTTCCGAAGAAGCTGAGAGCATGCTGAATTTCTCAAATGAAAGCCTTTGAACTTTACATAGCACTGAAAGATCATTTTAAAACTATTTCTCATTTCAGAAGAATAAATCTCACTTATTCCTGCCTGAGATGACTGCCACTTGCAAACCTTGTACCACTAACATTTATCCTCCTAACAGTAACATTATAAAATAAGATGTATATTAGCAGTTGGCTCAGTTCTGGAGCACAGAAGCAGCTATTCCACTGAACCGTAACTCACATTATGATGAGCCCTTCTAACATTTTGAAGGGCCTGTTTCATGATTCCAGGTGTATTTTTAAAATGCCCAAATTTTAAAATTACATTTCCAGAATACTCCATCCAGTTTAAGGAATACAGCTTACAGGTCACAAGACTGGGTGGACTTATTTTGCTCTACCAAAATTCCCATTCTGCTGCAGCACAGCACTCCAGGAAAGCTTGAAGCTTCAGTAAAGCTCCCTGCGTGCCAATTTCACACAAAAAACAAAGGGGTGGTGTTCCTGGCCTATTAAACTGCATATGGGGCCACTTGATTCAATGCACTCAGGCTCTCTGTTAGGAATGGAGTAGAATTTTGTCTGGTTCACATTTTTAGCAAACTGACCTAGAGTGATATCCAGTTAAGTCATACTTACACTTCTTGAATTGCGTGGCACAATTTTTTAATTTAATTTTTATTTTTAGGGGAGACATTTGTATCATTTTGTACCAAAACTGCAGAAGCTGACATAAACCACACCTGATTTGAACACATCTGAAACTGACACTAGAAATACACTGATTCACCCATCCCTAAGTGTATGTATGTCCATGTGTATTTATAGGTGTGTATACTTACACATACACACATGAACTCTCTTAGCACATAGAAACTAGGGATCAAGGAGAAGGGCCTACATTTCCGCCTAATATATTGCACATAAACACATGCATATGCCTAAAGATTGGCCTCCTGTTTTCCTTCAAAGGTGTCACCAACAATTCAGATCACATCCTGTCCCACAACATAAATAACTTTAAAACTGCCAATGGTGAGATTAAAGCAAAACAACATTGAAATATTTACTCAGTGAAGTAGACACTCTTTGAAGATCTATGTTTTACACACAACCATTAAAAGTTGTACCCATATTTGTGTCTCGTATTTACCTCCCTCGCTCTACAGTTCATACCGAAGCTACTAATGCATATTGTTGCACTCATGCTTATATGAAAGTCTACTTATGAGGACAGAGTTGTAGGAAAGGCACCAGATTCCATAATAAAAATAGGCACTATCAACTAAGTACAACTTCTGCAAAACATCTACACATTTAAATGGTGTTCACAATGAGGTTACAAATGAAAAGTAGTTTGGTTTCAAACTACTTAAGAATTTATTCAGTTTAATTCAGATAATAAACTGACCAGCTCCTGGACAGAAACTGAAACTATCCCACCTTTTCACTTCTCTACTTTGTTAGGCAATATGTTCTATATAAAGCATAAGCATCAATATTATCTGCTCAAACAGAAATTGGAAAATAGGCAATAAGCACCAGACGAGTTAAATGCTTAATAAAGGACAGATATACATATAATTTGAAAAAACAAACCTTATGCTCTCCTATTTAATAGTATATTGTCACCTTCCCCAATTGTTTATTGCCACTTAAACAAAAAGAAAGTGCAATACTTTCACTGAAGAGATAATTTAAATTATCTCAACAATTACACATATTCACAAGATACGGTACAGGCAGTGACCGGGCTATATTTTAAGGTACCTCAGATTAGAAAGTTTTTTGTGTAGCCGGCTGAATTCTCTTTATAAAGCCTTTTAAACTACACTTAAAGAGCACATATTACAATTCCACTTGAAAATTCCCTCAGAGAACTCTTACCTGTGAGCAGCAGCTGATTTAAACAACAATGTGAGAGCCTCTTCCCATTTCCCTTTTTAGGACAAATTTATTCCCCTTTCAGTTCAGTACCTCTATGTTCTCTGCTGACCTAATTTTGTCTGTGATAAATGCCAGAGTTCGACTGGAGTCACTTGAGCTGCTGCAAGAGAAGAATGGAAGTCAAAAATGAATGCACTCAACATTCCTCCTTGACAGATTGCTTGTCAAGAGGCTAAAAGCCTTGGAAAGCTATAGGTGAGGTAAAGCATTATAATAGCCATCCTTTAGATTAAATTGAATTCCAGTTTTCAACTAATTACTCCAGACTCCAATAATGAAGTTAAAGCTCATTGAAACTGAAAGGTTCAGCATTTTACTCAGGTCCCATGCATACGGTATCAGACAGTAGCCTTTTAAGTCACTAGGAAAAGATCCATGGACGCAACAAAACCAATCAAGCATCAGACTCGGTCTTGGGTCAGACCCTACTTAAGTGGCCCTGGTCAACAATCTGTGTCTGGAAGATGTAGAATAGGAGCATGACCTTGATAATTCTTCTGAATCTCTCAGTAGCCTTTGATACAACTGATTGTCTGATTTTTACAGGATGGTTGGTAGTGGAGGACATCACTTTGTGACTGGATTCATGTGGTATGGATACTACTCAGCCACACAGGAATCAACTTGTAGAATATAACAAGAATTCAGTCTTTTCGCCGGAAAAAGACTGCATGACTATGTATTTATTATTTTCATTTATTTATTCCATCTTTCACCTATCGTAGAAATCAAGAAGGCATCAGGTGATTTCCCATCCAGCCATTGACAAGACCCAGCACTTCTTAGCTTCAGCAAAGATACTGTGCCATGTAACCTCAGATGATGTCCTAGTACACAAAGATGATGTCATTTGTATGCTGGTGGCATTCAGCTTTGTTTTGCTTTGTAATGTGACTGTGGTATAGTGCCAATCCCTGAGTGTCAGTAGTCAGAGGAGCTCAGTCTACACTCGAGTAGGATCCTGGTAGAGACACATGCCCGACTGGCATGTTCTCTCCCTCCTGGTCAATCCTTTGGGAGCTTCAAAAGCTTTCTTCAGCCTGAACATCACCGCGACCGATGCCAACAGACATTGGCACACTTGATCCGCAGAGTTTGTGCATCATGCGTAACAGACCTCAGCAACTCAGCATTTTGACTAATCTACTTTATTTACATATAAACACACATGGAGCACTGCAACATGGCTCCCTCTCTCTCTAGCATCAGACAGCATAGAGAAAAGGGACAAAGGACAACAGTCCCAATTCACGGAACACAGTAACACAAACATCCTGTCTTCGTCACTTCCCACTCTGTGGAGTCAAAACATATACCATCATGTGAAAGACAATAATCCCATGACTGCAATCACAGAACAGGAATTCTAACAAGTATCTACACACAGTTATGGGTGCAGTATGAAGAATACATCGAAGCTGAATCCTGACATGGCAAACTGTTGGCAAAAATATATTACTTGGTGTGAAGGGATATCTGTTCGTTACACGGTCACAATCCCTTTCATCAAAGGATGAAAAGAAATTTACTTAGCATAAAAGACCCTTTACATAGGAAAGAATGCAAATGCAGAATAATGAAATAAGTCCAATCAAGAGTAGTCCCATCCACCAACTGTGTGCAGCCCTCAGAAATGGGGCTTTCATGGTTACAAAGGTCCCCCACTCTTTCCCTAGAGTGCAAGTGCACAGGTTGGTAGAAAATGGCTTGGTTCTATATCCATGTTTCAGGCGGCAATGAATGCAACATTTCTCAAAATAATAAAAATCACCAAATTATAAACTGACAAAGAAAAGACTGCATATGCAGCAAAATATTTCCATATCAAACTTGATAAAATCCCACACACTCTTAAAGGCAAATTTGTGGAGACTTTAAAATGTCAATATTTAACAAGACATATGAAACTTCACCTCCACTTTCATAAGTGCTCATTTCTAAAGAAAATCAATATTTAAATGTATTACAGAGCAATAAAACATTGGCAGTGAGACTGCAAACAGTTATTAAAATGGGCATATCCATTAAACTGTGGGTAGAGTCATGTAATAAAGATATTTTTGAATTAAAGTATGTTGCAGTAAATCATTTCCTTCTTTTAAGTTGTAGAAGCTAGATTAATGCTTATCTGTTTAATGCTTACCTAGCTCTTACAGTGCTTTGGAGTTTCAAAAGCTCCAAACATACCAGTGAAATTAGAAAATCTTTGAGCAATGGGTAAAATTTACCTAAGTTTTTTACATTCTAAGAATAAAGACTCTAGGAATTTGTTAACATGATTGCATACCACACACTGCACCAGAACCCCCAATGCAGTGACATGATTCTGTAATTTTCATGCTAAATGCCAATTTATATTAAAAGAAAACAGAACTGAAATAACTTCCTACATTTTTCTGGCAACAAAAATCTTCCTAATACATGGGAAATATGGGAAAGATACTTTACAATGCTAATTGCAGGAATATACAACAGGTATTTTTTTAAAAAAGACTTAAAAAGGATTTTAAAGGAGTAAGGTAAAGGTAAAAGGAACCCCTGACCATTAGGTCCAGTTGTGACCGACTCTGGGGTTGTGGCGCTCATCTCGCTTTATTGGCCGAGGAAGCCGGTGTACAGCTTCCAGGTCATGTGGCCAGCATGACTAAGTCGCTTCTGGCAAACCAGAGCAGTGTATGGAAATGCTGTTTATCTTCCCGCCGGAGCGGTACCTAATTATCTATTTGCACTTTGATGTACTTTTGAACTGCTAGGTTGGAAGGAGCAGGGACCGAGCAACGGGAGCTCACCCCGTTGTGGGGATTCGAACCGCCAACCTTCTGATCGGCAAGTCCTAGGCTCTGTGGTTTAACCCACAGCACCACCCACGTCCCCTTTAAAGGAGTAGTGAACTTAATTTGTGCACCACTGCAATAAGACTCCCTCCCTCCACCTCTTCTTGGAGGTGGGGGGGAGACATGAATCTCAACTTGCTATCTTTGTGGCCAGGCAGCATCCAGCACCCTTGAGTAAGTGTTGTGGGCTCATGGATACCTGTGTCAGATTATGTCCACCTATCTGCCTGCCTCCTGACCTAGCCCCACCCAGTTTCTACCTTGAGCAGTGCAATGACCAATAGTGATGTTAAACACCACTGGATAGCTCAGCTGGTTAGAGCATGATGCCGATAATACCAAGGTCGCAGGTTCAATCCCCATATGAGACAACTGCATATTCCTGCATTGCAGGGTGCTGGACTAGATGGTCCTATGGGTCCCTTCCAACTCTGAAATGATACCTGTTTTACAGCCAACCATTGAAGATTACAGGACTGCTGCTGTCCAGCACAGGCAAATTGGGATGCAGACACTGGTGGACCTGACAGATGGCATTGGGGGGGGGGAGTCCTCAATTCTGGAGCTAGCCAGCTTTCTGGAGCTAGCTTTGACACTTCTCATGATGTAGGCATGAGACACTGCTCTAATGGTTTTGTGCTGTGAAGCGGTCTATAAGTTTAACAATTATGACGACTTCGTCTACTACTGCAGGAACTGGCATTCTGAGGTGGTTCTCATTCCAAGATACAGGAAAATAAAACTGTAGTGAAAAAGTCTAAGTTTTGTTTTCTAAGTAAACTGGGTCAGTTTACACATTAAAATATCCATAAGTAAGTAAAATAATCAAGCAGGAAAGACCACATAAATTGACCCCTCCCACATGTTTAGGTTATTTAAATACCTCCCCAGCTGTATGGGGGTGACACAGAAGAGGGGCAACTCCTAACTTACTTAGAAATGTTTAAGGAGCCAATAACAAGTATGTGAACATTTAATAGCAACTTCATAATTAATAGCCTTAAATAATTTACACCCTGAAGCCTGATTTTTTGATGATTTAGGATTGTTGTACTAGATATCATAATATATATTTTTTACAAACTGGCATAAGAAACCCTGTAGGTCAGCCCATGCTTTGACTCCTCACTTCTGTAACTGTGCATCTGATCCTTTATATACTCTTGCCAACAGTATTCACAATTATAACTTGTTTTTTACACAAATATGCACATCACTTAAATTTGATTTGGGGATTTGTCCATATGCAGACTGGGCATTGGTTGCAGCCAATGTAAATAATTATTAAAACAAACACACCCAGAACATTTTGAACAAATGATAGCTGAATAAAAACAGCTGAATTTTGACACAATTTCTTTCATATAAAAAGACCCTCCAAAACTAATTTAACTAATATTACTATTTTCAGCTATACATACAATATGTATTATAGGATTTTATCAACATACTGACTAAGCATTTAACCTATCTTATAATGAAAATTTAAATTTATGGTTGCAATTAGAACTTTAAGCATAGTAATGATAAAGAATAAATGAACAAACAAACCTGATGTCTGAGAGAGCTCTTTAGGGAAAACCACATGCACACACATCGAAGGACATGGAGCAATATTCTGTTAAGCCCTAGCAGTCTGAGACAGCACCTCAAACTAATACACTGCAAAGCACTGCCATGTGGTAATGCTTAAAACATATTGACAGTCTTCTAAAGCTTTTTGCCTTCTCCTGTATATATCACACCATTGATTTCCCTCCCTCTTTTACTGAACAGGCATCGCTTTATAAATGATGGGCATGAGATACCGTGGGAGTCAGAGTGAACATATTTCTGCTGAAGTTCAGATGTCAATGGCCCATAGGAAAAGTGGGTCAGGTGTTGGTTGTGTATTGTTTTCTGCTGTTTTACAAGTTAGCCCCTTCTGGTTTTTTTTTTTTTTTTGGTGGGTGGGATAGAATTAAGTTTATGATGGTGAGTAGATGGATCTCACAGGTGCAGCACTTTGCAAACTGCTCATTTCACCCTGTAAGCAAAGTCAAAAGAAGGAAATGCCTTCCTACGTGTGCTTCATAAGTTACAGGGGGGCAGCGAACACAATTAAGCTTATTGGATGCTCATACAGCTTACTGGCCAGTCACTCCTGGGTAGCCTAGCTGTGGATGAGGATGAAATGGTCCCTTTGGCATCTTGCACAGCCTCTCTTCATTGTAACATACTAAGTGCTCCCAATGCATCCAGCTTAGTTAAGCAGCAAAATGTGGCCTAGAGGAACATTGATCTAGATTTCACAAGAACAGAAATATATCACCTTTATATGTACTGTGGAGAGTAGGCTGGTGACTAGGAGCAGCTGCCGGGACTATATAACACCGGTCCTAAAGGATTTTCACTGGCTCCCCGTACATTTCCAAGCACAATTCAAAGTGTTGGTGCTGAACTTTAAAGCCCTAAACGGCCTCGGTCCAGTATACCTGAAGGAGCGTCTCCACCCCCATCGTACTGCACAGACACTGAGGTCCAGTGCCGAGGGCCTTCTGGCAGTTCCCTTGCTGCGAGAAACAAAGTTACAGGGAACCAGGCAGAGGGCCTTCTCGGTAGTAGAACACTTTCCCTTCAGATGTCAAAGACATCTGAAGGCAGCCCTGTATCGGGAAGTTTTAAATGTTTGATTTTTTCCTTTTTTATATATGTTGTAAGCTGAGTGTCTGGGGAAACCCAGCCAGATGGGTGGGGTATTATTATTATTATTATTATTATTATTATTAACAACAACAACAACAACAACAACAGTGGAGAAATCCTAATTTTTGAAGTTGTCTTAGCTTTTTCCACTTTACTTTCTCTGCCTCTTCTTCTGGTGCAGATTTTTCCATTGTTTCATACAAGTCTGTTTTCATGAGCTCATTTTCCATTCTAAATTTCCATTCTAAATTTTGCACAGCAAGCTCTAGGGCTTTCACAGGTTTTATATATACTGCCATTATTTTTCTCTTTCTCGTCAGACTGGGCCTGTAACCCTATTGTTGTGGAGGATGGGGGTAATATTAATAAAACCAACCCTCCAGACTGGGAATATCCCCTCACTCACCCAGTTTAAGATATTCCAACGTTCTTCAGCAGAGTTTCTTTTCTTTCAGCAAAGTAAGCGGCTCCTGTTATGTCAAAGAAAATTGTAACACAAAAGCATAGTGTCTGAGAGAAACTACAACAACATGAGACAAGAATGACAGTTGGTCTCTCTAAGTGAACTTAGCTGAACACCCGAAGGAAGGGGCCAATTCCAGAGCACAACACAAAAACCCTGCCCACCAGATGACAGACATTCTACTAATCAAATTAGGCCCCAGTGTTTTCCTTACAGATAAATCCTAATCTTTGAAGTCGTCTTAGTGGCCACTGGATGTCACTCTTGTTCCACAGTCCAATTTTTTTTGAAGCTTTCTCCCCCACCATAGTGAGGTAAATATACACAGTCACTCCCCAATCTTAGCAGTTCCAAATTCAGAAGCTGACATACTTGGTAGATAGCAACCATTAAGATAAATGAGATGAGATCCAAATGAATGTATGAGGATAGTCTATCCACAGTTAACATGGTTTGATTAAAGTTCATTCAAATGTACATCTCCACCCATGAAGGCACATGGGTTAACTTATTTATGAACTCATAGAATCATAGAATTGTAGAGTTTGAATGGACCCCAAGGGTCATCTAGTCCAACCCCCTGCAATGCAGGAATCTCAGCTAAAGCATCCAGTGGTGGTGGATTGTCCTCAACACAGCACAACCCCCAGGTTTTAAATGACTGACTCTCCTTCTTGTAAAGCAAGATCTGAACAGATCTCAAAAATTGTCTAAACTGGGGAAGGGCAAGCAAGAATTTTTCATGCCTTATTATATTTTACAATTATTATTGTATAAATAAATGTCCTCTTGGTGGTTTTATTTTAAAACAGACTGTTCTAAAACACTTGGAACGGTTTAAAAAACACTAATAAAAGAGAAACCATCTTGGCTGTGAGTTCTGGAAGAGCTTCTCCCTGCCTTGCAGGCCTTTGTCCACCTGGCCTAGGAAGGCTGGGCCCTGACTATAAAAGTTGAGGCTGCTAAACAGACACTTGACCTGGGATATTGCTGGGGGGTGTTGTTGTTGGGGGGTAAGTGGCTTGTTGCTGTTTTTGGCATTTTTGTACGCTTATTTTGTATGTTTATTATCATGTATGTGGAAAATGTTCAGTTTGGTTGTGTGCTTTATTTTTTATTTTTATTTTATACAAATAAAATGATGTAGGTATGTATAAAGGCTTCAGCCTATAACTTTGAAGTGATAATCCAGTCCAGGCTTAATTTTCAAATGCCTTGAAGAAAAAATAGATTTTACTTTTGTTTTCCTTTGATGGCAAGGAAAACAATAAAAGTTGAACATCATCCAGGACAGTCATCAAACTTTTCAGATGTAGGACTCACCTTTAGCTGCATCCTGCAACTTGGGATCCACTTATCCTTTTTTATAACCGTATGTCGATCCTTCTTCCATTTCTCCTCTTTCCCCCTTATCTTCCACTTCCTTCTTTCGAAATGCTTAAAAGGTGGAGATATTGCTGGTGCAATCCAACTTCAACTGGGTTCCAGCTCACTTGTTGGGAGACCAGCCCAAGACACTCATCAGCCCAGAATTGAAAGACTAATTGTAAATGCTCTGCTTCTCGTTTAGCCTCCCATTTAAAAGGGATATAGAGCAGTCTCCTACCATGTCATTTTTAGCTGATGAGGCTCATCATAATTTGATTATCTAGACTTCTTAAGTGCATTTGCTCATTTTGGGGAGCAAATTGTTTCTTAGGATATGACTTCTGAAAATGTCTCCTCAGTTTTTGAAGCATGGGCTCTCTTTTAGATTGGAGAGTAACATCAAATCAATACTGCCACACAAAGGGCTAATTCAATTTTATTACCAACTCTCTAATGTTGTGGTCTCTGGGGGGCATCACAGTATAGGAAGGAATTAGCTGTGCTTAATTCAAAGAAAATAGTAAAATAAAACTATATATATATATATAATTATTTGTGTTGCTCGTATGTATGTTTAGGGTAAACGTTTCTGGAAAATGTTTTAATTGTTGCCAGCTGAGAATTAGAACCAGCTGATAGCAATAAAGTGGTGCTGCAGTCTTGTCTTCCTTTCTCCAACTGCTGCCACATAATGTCTCACCGTCAAATGTCAGACGAAACCTCAGAGAAATGTTGAGGTTTTAGTTTAGGTGTGGGTTTCTTTAAGCTTCAGTTTCTCGGCAGCAATGGGCTTGCTTTGCGGGAGAGCGGGGAATAACCTTGCTGAGAGAAGATGGCTTCCTCCATCTCCATTTTGTTCTTATATCTTGAGAACTAGCCCTTTTGCCCTTCAACCTTGTAAGGAAAAAAAGGGGAGAGCTACTGCCATTTCTCTTCATGTAACACAGCAATGAAATTTTAGAAGGTCTCTAGATGCTACCAAAGAAGAGGCACACCAGCTTTTTAGGAAGGTAGCTAGTTGTTGGAATTATTCTGGCTTTTGAACTATTGAGGCCCAAATGTATTCTTACACTTAATCCCAGAATTCTGGGACCTTTCCCCATACTTCACTAGTATGCAGAGGGTCCCCCCCTGAAATATTAACTCTGATCAGCTCTATTGCTTGCTTATTCTTCTCAAAAAACAATAGTCCTCATTAATGCTATTCAGTGCTATTTTTCTAGAAAAGGAGGTGCCGGAAATCACTTGTTCTCTTATAACAGCAAAGGCGCCCACCTGAGAGGTGCTAGAACTGAGTTCCAGCAAGTTCTGGCTGGGGGAAAAAAAGGCCTGGTGCTATTCAACTCGTCTCATGCGCATAGATGGAATTGGGACCTTCTTGCTTCAGAAGGAGCAAGGCCTAGATGAACTATCCTTCCCCTGTGTGCCTGCTCTGCCTCTGTGAGGCACTGAAAGGAAAAGGCAGGCCCGAGCACACTGCTGCTAATATTCCTGAGGTAAAAAGGGTGGAAAAACAGGAGAGGCCTCAGAGAACACTTTTCAGTGTCCAGCCCCATCACAGTCTTTCTTGGCAATTGTGGGCTATAGTTGTTGCTGCAGGATGATGTTTTATGACTGCTGCAAGACAATGGACCAGGGATGGGGTGGAAACTCTGTTCCCTGTGCCACATGGAAAATTTGAACACACTTGTGAGTTTAGGCAGCTGAGAGGTGCTGAACCTTGGGTGGACCCCATTTCTCTCCTGATCCCTCCCAAACCCAAAAGCAAAGAACTCATCCTGTGAAGAAACAACTGTAGTGAGGGAATACAGGTATCCAAACAATGGGGCTAACTAGCTTCTTTTGCTTTGGTACACAGGCTGAGTTACAATTCTGTCAAGCCCCATGAAGCTCCATCAGGAGTGGAAAGCAGCCTCTCCTCAGAAACATCCTTTCCTTCAGGCTTTGGGGCCTGAACACACCAAGCCCCATCCTGAAAGCGTGTTGCTCCGTCTTGCAAGTGAAATAGCCTGTTGAAATTGAATTCAAATAGTGTGGCAACAGATCAGAAACAAGCTGTGCTAGAAGCCTGTTAACCATATAGGCTGCTAAGGAGTAATTCTTCCAGGAAATCTTTCCAGGATTTCATAAGTAAAGACTTCCAAACCTGGAACCACTGGAGAATGTTGCATTTCAGCTTTCTGAAGATTATTTGTTAAAGCTCAATGTGTTTTACAAGCTAAACCTATGAAGTCATGAGTACACAACACTGCATTTTACGGAGCTTACTTCTCTAACTGCAGTCATGCCACATGGTTGATCAAGGATGTGAACCCTGCCCACTCCTGCCAGATTCCACCATGCTATCTGTATAACCACCCTTTGCCAGCTCCCTAGTCTACGACTGGCAGCAGATCCTATTAAAAAGGAGTACTATGAACGGTTCCTCTTGCTGCCTTGGAGGGGAAAGAGTTCCATTGGGCATCTCTTTGCTCCTCCAAGTCCAATGGCCAGTCAGTCATACTGGTGGTGCCAGAACCGAGTTCTCACCAGCCTTCTGCCATCACTCGCAAAAGGCAAGGCAAAGGAGGGAGAAATGGCAACATTTTAACATGAGGCATACCCAGAATAAATTCCTGTGGCACTGCTAACCATTTTACTCACACAACATAAATACTTCTTAAAAGGGACCAGCCTGGAGAAGCATCAGAAATCTAGGCTGTCGGAACATTGGCTGTGGGGTCTTCTTCCTTGCTGGGAGCACACATTTGTAGAGGGGAGAGTCTAAGTCCTATACAAAGACTGTGGTCCCATCATATCAGAGAAAGTGCAAAAAGAGCAGATACAAGCAGGTACTCTCTGGGTAGTAAGGGAGATGGTTTTGTGGAGCTCTTATTATCAGTGTCAAGCATTTTTCTAAATACATATTTAGCATTTGCTGGGGAAGCCACGTGATTTCATTGTGTAATTTCTGACCGAGTACAGCAAACTGTAGGCCATCAAGCACAATTCCTAAAACAAAGTAAGGTTTGAAGATCCTGGTACTGTGTGTAATACTGTTTCCACATGACTACCTACCCACGTTAGGACATCACAAGTTTATTGTCTAATAGGATTAGCAGTTTTTGGTCAATTTGAAATTGCTGGGACTGAAACAGTCAATGGAAATTAGTTTCTTACTAATCTTGCTGTTTTTAAATGGCACTGAAATTTTCCTCATCAATTCGTCATTTAGCTGCAGCCTCATTTACGCAGTGAGCTGCTTCCTAGTGTTTAAGTAGAATTGCCACTCTGAAACCAGTGGCTTATCTAGCACAGTAGCTCGTGTCTAGGCAGCACACAATCCAGCACCATTACAAAATGGAATCACTGGAAATGTCACCTTAAATGTCTGACTTGTATCAGACACTGCTTTCAATAATGAAATACATAAAAGTAAGCAATTGTCCCCCATTGTCCCAAGAGAAAGAAACCTGTTATTATATTCCTCCAGCCACATTCACTAGCGTTCACTTCTCCCTAGGACCTGCCTGTGCTTTGCCCTAAAGTGCCAACTGAGTGCCAGGATGCAAAAGATATCTGCCAAAAACTGAGCAAAGAAGCATAGACTGCAGAAACATCTATAGGTCAGAGCACTCTGCCCAGTCAATTAGCATTATCCTAGTCTATTAGTCTGCATAGTTGCTGTATTGTCTATATGGGTCATATATGTAGTCTCAAAATAAACATCAGGTACTTCATTCTACAGGAATAATTGCCAAATGGCATGTATGATGTCAGAAAATTGCAGGAGCTGATAAACACTACAAGTAACAGATGAAGAAGCACAAGAGCCCAGGGAAGCTTTCAGCATGCTGACATACTCCAAGTCCCCAAACTATACATAAAAACATGCCAATACCTACTCTCCTCCCTCCACAGTAGTTCACTAAGCCTTACTGTTCATGTTACATAGACCTATATGATTCACAAACATACAGTTCATTTGCAACCAAAGTAGCCATAAATAAAACTTTTTTATTCTTTGATGTAATTTACAAGCTACCAGGTACCATGTATTTTACAATGGTCACTTTAAAATTGATGCAGTCACAGAATGGCCCAGACTGAACAGAAAGCTGTTGTTGATGAAGTGAAGGATTGTAAGACATAAGCAAAGTAATACTGTAACAGGTAGGTGGCAAAAAGCAGATTTGCCGTAATAAATCAGACTTGTAATGTTGCATGAGTTCTGGCTGATAACAAAAACTGAGTGTCATGCGATTCTCAGCTTTATTGCCTGCAGTCTGACTAATGTCTGTACAGTCCTCTTTCTTTCCTTGCGATTTATTAAAATGGAAAAGTTAAAAACTATAGCAGCAACAAGCAAACCCTGTGACAGGAAGGCAAGGGTTAAATAACTAAAAACAGTTTATACAGTGTGCTTAAGGAAGGTCTTCAGAGTTTATCTTCCGTCAGCTGGAGTTCGACTGAGTGATGACATGATTCGGGCAAATCGTTCGCACAGTTCATGGGTGGAATATGAAGGTAACTTTGGTGGGTCGTTGAAACCTTTAATTTCTGTAGAACAATCTAGCAATTTTGGCAGGAAGTCTGTCAGCTTTTCTTGCAAGTTGGCTGTAAAGAAGATGCATATATTTATATTTATCTGTTTGTAACTGGCCAATAATTTAAACTATGAGTTATCTTCGCATGCAAATTTTTATTATTTAAAGGTTTCCTTTCCTTCTCATGGTCCCACTTGAGAAAAGGAAGCCTGCACTCTCTTAGCCATTAGATGTTCTCTTAACCACATTTACTCTTAAACAGCAGCAACAGAAACAGCTCACTGGAACTTTAGGATTAAAATCTATGAAGAACGTGCATTGCTTTTATAGTAAATAAGGCGCTATCTTGCAGATTTCTGAACTATGCATCTCAAAATGTGCTTAAAGATTAATAAACTGATCACAATCTAACAGCTGAAATTCTCTCTCCTTTCGTCCAACTTTTTTATTTTGTTTACTCTTCCAATATTATTCTTCCAACTTTAACAATATAGGCATACCATACCAATCTAAAGTTGAGATGCACCTTACTTAGATTTTAACTGAGATGCGGAAACAAACTTACTCAGAGTTCCTAGGAACACATCTTATTACTGTATATGTATAAAAGTACAATTGTAAATAACATACGCTCCATTTCTTGTCCAAGGTATGAACACCATCGGTTTCTCATATCTTCTACAGCAACAATATCCTTTTCCTCTGTTTCATCCACCAGTAACAATGGCAAACATGGAACAATAAGATCATTCATAATTTCCAGTCCTTTATTCACTTCTCGATCATCTCCAGATTCAAACTGTGCTGCAGCACACTCATTTAATTTCTATGTATACCATAAAGAGAAAAATCAAACTGTTAGTGTTCATATTGTGTAATATTGTGTAATAGGTTCAAGTTACTAGTCCAAGCATTTGAGAACCAGGGGCAACCTATATAATCAAATACTTTTGCATGGTGCAATCTCTAAAATGTCATGTAACTGATGATTTATGCAGTGGTATTTTTCTGTTAGTCTACTTACGCCAAGTGAGGTTACCTATGTGTTATAAAATGTGAAACAATGTTTTTATATAAGCTAACAATAATGTTTGTGCAGTTTCATTCCATCAAATATTCATGGGAACCACATGCCATTCCTATCACATATCATTTACTGGAACAGCTCCTAGAACCAAGTTCTTTTAAATCCTTGGTACTTCAATTTGCATTCTGGCAGTCTTTTTCCAGAATCACAAAATAACCCATTTACATCCGTTCCATGATACAACTGGTTTTGCTAAGCCATATGGCACCAAAGTTGCTCACCACTGCAAATGTCACCCACTTGTCCTATGAAACAAGCTGCACAGGACACACATTAATGTATGCTAAGAATGATGCATAAGAATAACTAAAAGCAGAGAACAGTCTTTAGCCACAGACCTGAAACTAAATATAATTATGATACTGATTAGGACTACATGTTTAAAAAACAAATCTGCAGTTTTTCCTCAAAAAATAAAACATTGTACAATTGGATTCCACTTACTAGTAAACATTCTCTTCTATAATGGGATATCAGTTCTTCATCATGACCTCTGTTTGAGCCTTTTGCTAAAAGTTCTTTGTTCTTATGGTAAGCACAGAGAAGGTACAGCAAGGCATTCTTAAAACTACAATAAAAATGAATTTTATTTTTTTTAAAAAAAAGTACTAGAAAGGCATTTTAATGAGATTCTTGAAATGGTCTCTTAATGGCATACAATATTGTATCTAAATTCAAAAACATATTGTATCAAATCCTGTCTCAAACACCAAATATTTAGATTGCCTACAATGCAAGAAAATATTTAGTGAGGCCAGCCCAATACTGTTATGGCAGTAACCGCTACGCCACAGATAAACCAGCTTAATATAGAAACAATTTATTCCTGTTATGGAAATGCCTCCATGAAGACAATTCTGCTAATTGTGGAATGCATATGCATTTATAATATTTATATCTTGCTTTATGTGAGAGCCAAGAGGCTCTCAAAGCAGCTTAAGAATAGAGTCTCAAATAAAAATAAAAATTCAAATCTAGTGTAGACCTGGTTGCTCACTGGAGCAAGATGGTTCAAGTATATATAACACCAATCCTGGCCTGGCTGCACTTCTGGGCCCAATTCAAAATGCTGGTTTTGACCTATAAAGCCTTAAAGGCTCAGGACCACAATACCTTAAGGACCTTAAGGGTTACAGATAGATACTTTAATGTCAGTAACAATATTTTGGGGAGGGGGCCAGATTGTACAGATTGCACAACCAAAAAAAGAATTTCCATGCCCAGTCATCCTTACACATTTGTATCATTTATCACATATGGTGCCTATATAACCATTCAATTGCAAATGCACTGCAGTTCTTTGTAGATTTTAAGAGGTAGATTCCCTTACTTCTTGTTCTGGAAACATTCCAATCCCACCATGAGGTACACAGTTGTATCTCTGAAGTTTCTGTACTCTTGGTGCCACCACTGCATGTAAAAATAAATAAATGTGTACGTAAGTTTTTTTAATGATGAAATACTAAACATCCAATTTCAGTCCTGTCAAACTATGAGTTCAAAATATTTTTTTGCCTCCTTTAGATGGCCATGCCAATGAGAAAATCTTGAGTAACTCTGGATATGGAGATTCAACATGTCATTAAGAACAATACACTCTGTCCGCTGACTAATTTTCTGATTCCCCACCCCCCACCATTTCTGCGCAGTCACTGTCTATTACATGAAAACTGCTTGCAAGTCCATTTAAAATCCAAACGTGAAGGACACACTTCCCTGAAAATTCTCAGCTTTTGAGCTCAATACTTGTCACCTTTTTCAGGACTTTTTCAGGACTTACATTAACACACACACAAATTCATTTTACCTTAGGATGAGTAAGAGGAAATGTTTCTGACAATACTAACCTCATAATCTTCCATTTTTACTTCATCTGGCTTTATCATTTCAATTTTGGCTCGGGCCACTTTCATTATGTTACGGCACCTTTAAAAAGGAAAAGGTTGTTACTCACTTTCTAAATCCTGCTTTGCAGCCATTTCAGAGCAGGAATGTGACCTTTTGTTCTAGACAAAAAGAGGAAACTGCCGCTCTCCAGACACCTACTTCACGAGGGCCTGCCCTCTCAGGGTTCGGGTGCATGTGGTGCATGTGAGCATGTGTTGCAAAACATCCCCTTGTATCAGTTGCAAAGCGAATTGGGACTGTTCCTGTGTTCGTGCAGACTGGGCAGAAAGATGGGAGGTTCGGTAAGACTGCCATTTTTTAAAGAATTAAATAGGCATAGCACTTCTCTTCCTTCTTCAGAGCAGGCTTCCTTGGAAGATAGTATCTTAACCTGGATCTTGCATGTCTTCTCAGGTTTGAGACCTACTGAATGACTAGATATTATTTCTGTGACTTCAATTAGGACTGGCTGATTTATTTTAGATGGCTTGGCTTTATGAACTACAGTGGTACCTCGGGTTAAGTACTTAATTCATTCCGGAGGTCCGTTCTTAACCTGTTCTTAAACTGGTCTGAAACCTGGTCTGAAACTGTTCTTAACCTGAAGAACCACTTTAGCTAATGGGGCCTCCTGCTGCTGCTGCGCCACCGGAGCACGATTTCTGTTCTCATCCTGAAGCAAAGTTCTTAACCCGAGGTACTATTTCTGGGTTAGCAGAGTCTGTAACCTGAAGCGTATGTAACCCGAGGTACCACTGTAGTCTAATGCATTGCCTGAAAGTACTGCTACAAAAATGGCAGGGTCACAGGGGGACTCATCTTTGGTTTCATTTTTTTTTTTGCACTTTTTAAATTCTTCAGTTTGTCTGAATCTCTCATTTTAGGAGCCTTCATGTTGCAGTGTTACTTGCTGTACTAGACAAAGCCAGCCTTAGAATGAATTTAAATTATCACATATACAGCATGTACTTTTCTCTGGTTTCTTCTGTTGATTACAGTGCAGACGTGTTTGGCTGAAGTGTATGCCAGCAACTATCTTTAAGTGTCACAAGGTGGAGCTATAACACTTTTGCTACATATCTAGTGTTTTCTCATAGAACTGGGAGGTTTCTTTTTGAAAAACTCTCATTCTGCTTAACTGCATGTGCAGAAGGAAAGCTAAATAATTTATACCTTATTTCCTTTTAAAAACAAAAAACAAACTAACATTCTACAGAAGCTTTGCTTGAAGTATGTTGGACCAGACACACATGCATACATTACCTTTCATCAAAACTCAAATTGTGATCTGCAAACTGTTCCAGCAACGTTCTCTCAATTATTTTGTTTGGAGCCTGGTTTTGGATGAAGTATACAATTGCATGATGCAAACGGTAATCACACTCAGGTGACGTTTCTTGTTGGGCAAGTTTGAGTAATCGTGCATATTCCAATTTTATTGCCTAAACATTAAAAATAAAATAAAAATGACAGCCATTTTTAACAGGACAGGTTTTTTTAAATGAAAAATGTAAACTACGTTAAAAGCTCTATTACATATCAATTTAAGTATCGGCATCACTAATAAGAAACAGGAATATTTAATTCCAAAGCCATGATTCTCTTTTCCAATGACTAAACTATCCTGGATGAAGACAAAAATAAAACCTTAAAACATCGTTTCAGCAATATGGCAAAAGTGCTGCAGTAGTAAGTATAAAGCAAACGTTCAGCTTCTAAAGGAAAACAGAAAATATTTTAAGTGGCAAGACATCAAACGAAAGGGCTCTATCGAACTTAATGCTACTTGAAGTAGACCCATTCAAAATAAATAGGCCTGACTTAGGATACATGCTATTTCCCCACCCTCCTTGTATTAGCCATCAACAACAAAACTCACTCTCTAGTTATACATTAGCACAAGGCTCCATTTTCATGGTATTTAACAAATCCCAACTCTCAGTGTGAGAATGGGCAATGACAGTATTAACTCTGAGCAGAAAGCATTCAAGAGCACTTTGATGATAATGTCATAAAGGTAAAGGGTAAAGGGACTCCTGACCATTAGGTGCAGTCGTGACCGACTCTGGGGTTGCGGCGCTCATCTCGCTTTACTGGCCGAGGGAGTCGGCTTTTGTCCACAGACAGCTTCCAGGTCATGTGGCCAGCATGACTAAGCCACTTCTGGCGAACCAGAGCAGCGCACGGAAACGCCGTTTACCATCCTGCCGGAGCGGTACCTATTTCTCTACTTGCACTTCGTGCTTTCGAACTGCTAGGTTGGCAGGAGCAGGGACTGAGCAACGAGAGCTCACTCCGTCACGGGGATTTGAACCGCCGACCTTCTGGTTGGCAATTCCTAGGCTCTGTGGTTTAACTCACAGCACCACCTGCGTCCCATAATAATGTCATACATTTGCAATATTTTAAAATATATTGAATCCTTCAAAATAATTCTTTTGAAGACTACTGCTTATATACAGGGCATATCACAATTTCTATATTTTCTTAGACACGTGATCCATAGAATTCAGAATGCTACTGCAATAACAAAGTATGCAGTTTATCTGACTGACACTGTTTACTCATCACACTGCTCCATCTAAAATATCTCTTTCACAAGCTACCACATGGGAGAACCAAACAGATACAACAGCAAGCGAAAGTCCTTATTAATGGAATAAAGTAACTTCTGAAATCCACATGCAATTTATTTCTTGTAATAAAAGCACACTGTCAAAACAAGTATTAGTTCTCGCCTTTAAAAGATTTCAAAAGTGAATGGAACATTATAGGTAGCTTTGAGATACTTATATATAACATGATTTTTGAAAGTATAAACACAAAATATATACACACATCTATTAGGCCAGCAGATAGAGACTTTGAATCCAAGCAAGGTAAGCAACATCTTATTGAAAACACAGCAGAGAAAAGGCAATATGGAAAAATACTATCTTCCTCTAAGCTATATTTTCATCTTACAGCTGTATTTCAACAGCAAGTGTGCAATGTTTAGTGCATCTCCTTTAATATACTTTAGGTCAAATTTGAGCCAGAACTTAGTATAAATATAGGATACATACAAAAGAGAAAGCGATTTAAATTGAGGCTGTTCACTGACTTTTTAGCCTTCTCCAATGCAGTGCCCCCAGATAGTTTTGTACTACAACTACCACAGCTGATCAGACTTGTAGCCCAAAACATATGGTGAGCACAAGGTTTGGGAAGTGTGCTCTACTTTGTAGCTTCTATGGTAAAGGTGAAGGTAAAATGACCCCTGACAATTAAGTCCAGTAGCAGAGGACTCTGGGGTTGCGGCGCTCATCTCACTTTACTGGCCAAGGGAGCTGGCGTTTGCTGCAGAGAGCTTCCGGGTTATGTGGCCAGCATGACAAAGCCGCTTCTGGTGAACCAGAGCAGCGCACGGAAACGCCATTTACCTTCCTGCCAGAGCAGTACCTATTTATCTACTTGCATTTTGATGTGCTTTCAAACCGCTAGGTTGGCAGGAGCAGGGACCGAGCAACGGGAGCTCACTGCATCGTGGAGATTCAAACTGCCGACCTTCTGATCGGCAAGCCCTAGGCTCTGTGGTTGAAACCACAGCGCCACCCACGTCCCTAGCTTCTATGGTAGAGCATCTCTAAAACAAAGTGCATGGATTGGATTCTAGGGTGTTAAATTTTGCAAGGTTGTGGAAGAAGTTTCTCCTCTCTTCTAGCAGCTCTCCATGTCTGATTTCACACTGTTCCAGAATCCTACTCAAACCTTCCAAAGAAGCTTTTTGAGTTCACAGGCATCAGTCAGGAAGCTTTCCATTTATGAACAACTTCCTTAAGTTAACTTATCTTGGAATGTACTTAAGATCATTCCTGGGATCTTGGTTCCTTAAAAAAACAAATGCAATTTAAATTCTGACAAGTCATAGGACAAAAATACTGACTTTGCAATGATATGGCCAACTTCTATTAGTTAGTTGTCCTTCCCCTTTAATTATTGCATGTCTTAAGTAACAAAATACAGACCATTACTTTCCCCTGACATCAGGAAAGGTGGCAATCTACCAATACATGACAAGAAAATCATGACCTGCCTCCAAGCAATAAAGTTTAGATCCTTGACCCATTTGTCAGTAAAGCATGGTGTTGTCTAGAAAGAAAATATGAGGATCAGGAACAATATTTATATCAGTATGTCTTCTTCAAAAGGGAGGAGGGAGCATGAAATATGGCCATGCCCTGTTAGGAACAGTATAACTTAGTTGCTGTAATTGTTTCATATGGTTAAGGTAGCACTGATGTGCTAACTATGCATTATTCCTTGCAAAGAGGTTACTAGACTAGTATGGCAACCACCAAGCCTACTTTTACTTTTAAAATACCAACTGAAATAAACAGCACTTAAGTAATAAATCTTAATATGTGCACAAAACTGGAGCAAAGTCTACTGAAGATATTCCTTAAGTAGGTGTTGCCAACTGTAGCACTGGTATGAGCTTTATTGATTAAATTTATTATTAAAAATTCCTTGGATGGTGCTGTGTTAATTCTTAGCTTTTTCTTTCGAGAGAACACAATTAAATGTAGAAATAAAGGAAAACTCCAGGAAAAGGACAACTTTTAATTAGAATTCAAGTACAAAGACAGTAAGAAAAAAGGAAAGTTGAAAGTATTAGGTGTACCTTAAAGAACCCTGCTTCTGGCCCACACCTGTCATAAACATTCGTGGCTTTACCTATAGCCATGATAATACCTTGCATGTTCGGGGTCAGCATGACCTGTTATAGGAGATTTAACATTTATATTTTGAATGAAGAAAAGTGTCAACAACGCAACTCAGTATGTGCCTTTACATACTCATGCAACTGCATGCACCCATTGCAATGGCAAGCATTTCAGCGTTGTATTTGTGGCATTCATAACATTCTTGTCCATTTCCAAGGTAGTAAATATATAACTAGTAACGCTAGATTAATAAGAAATACTTAAGGCATTTAAGAGGAAAAAAGAGTTCAAAGCTTCATGTACATGCAGACTTAGTCTCTTGAAGATGAGTTTTAGCAGACTGAGTTAATGTAAGAGATTATAGCTTCTCCAGTAAGGTACAAAGCAGTCTATTTTCAGTTAAACATAATGACATAATTCTTATATATGGTACTGGAAGGGACACAAAGTTAAGGGAGCTTTCCTAAGGTGGGAATGCAACAAAGTCTCTGTATTTTGGCATTCCATCTTTGCAAAGATCTATGAAATTAGCGTCCAATGCCTAAAAAAGACAAGTGAGCCAGCCCTGAATTTGAACTTATTTCGTGAAAACCATGAATTGGGTATTTACTGGTAGTGGCCAGGTTGGGAATTGCAAGATTTTGCAATTCTGACAGCATGATACCAAAAGGTGTGGCAGATTGCTTTAAATGAAAAACTTACAGATAAGCTAAAATGGCAAGGGGTAAAAAACAAAAGAAAAATGCCACAGACGAATTTATGGCAGAATTGTACTGTTTTACCATGCATATGAACAGCAGACTTCCTACAGCACATAAAATCTTTTGGATGGTTTGATTTATGATATTGTGCTATTTTTCTTTTATTGTATATGATAATCTAGAGTCTCTCTAATTTTTTATGCATTATAAGACATGGCTGTAGTCTGTGTTGCATTGTAGTTGCTAAGGGAGGGTTTCTTTTGCTGTAAAATTAATATAAAATTAATTCTTATTTGTGCAGATAGATTTTTTAATACGCATGCCTTCCATTATAGAACTAAAGGCGAAGTCAGAACATGGGTATTAGAAGAATCGGATAGAAGCAAAATGGGAAATCCCTCTAAAATCATTCACATTTTCAAACTGGGAATACATAATGCCAACAGCAGGATTTCTTTCCATTCATGAAAGGGACTGCAACAGCAGAGGCTTGAAGTCAAGAAGGGAAGGGGGGAGAAGACGTTATTTTTGCAAATCCACATTTTCACAGATGAATGGAAAGAAAACACTGTCCTTTGTTACAGATTTATCAAGTGACCCACCTATTCGTGCTTCCAAGGCATGAGCACACGTATTTCATGCAAAGATCACTGTATGTCACAAGTTATTTTTTTCAAGTCAAACCAGTATTGCAATCATTTCAGTCAGGCATGTGGATTTGGAAGGGATCTGTATTATCTGCATGGCTGCCTTAGTGGGGCCAATGTGCTGTATTCCTGGAGGGGGGTGGCACTTGGAAGTCTTTTCTAAAGAGACTTCAGGCCCTATGCTAAAGCAGCAGACTATAAGCAAAGGGTGCTATATATGTTTAATACTGCTCTCTTCCCCACTGTTATTTCTACGTCAAGGACTATTGATATTTCACATATTAATTTTTATTATTGGCAATTATACAGTAGAAATCACATACAACTTTGCCCAAATATATATTCACAATAATATCAAGTTTCAGCTCCATGTTCTCAGGTTGCAATATTTGAACATTAAATGATGTTGCAACCTGCTGTAACACATGCTATCTTAAAAATAATGGGTGCTTTTTCCCTTTGTTTATTCATTTTCTAATTTATGATTGATGAATTAAAATCCATGTGACTCATCAACTAAGTTTTTTTAACTGGGCGAAAGTCTATCATAAAAACACAGCAAAAATCCCCTGGATCAGAGCTACCTAGTTCAGAATCTAGTCTCCAACACAAGGAAGCCAGTTATTTCCAGGAAGTCCACGAGTCCACTAGTAAGACATAAAGGCGCCCATCTACCCCATTGTTTCTCCCTGTGTGTATGTATGTATAATATATACATATACATTGCTCCCACTGAGACTTTATTTAAGAATGCTAATCACTCAAACATAGGCATGTGTAGGCTTGCCAATTTTTTAGACAGGGATGTGGATCCAAATGTGGATTTGAGACTACACTACATAGTTTTTAATGGAACATGCATTTAGATGTTCTTCTGCAAGTAATGCAGTTCACATAGTCGATGTGTATAGGGATCCACATTTGAATCCACACACTCTACACTGGGCCCAGTTACATTAAAGGGAAGACTGCACTCTGAAAACACATACCTATGTGGGCATCACATCACATCAGAGAACTTCCGCTATAATCTTTGGATCTAAAAGGACTACTTGCCACCCTGTTGACTAGTAGCCCTATGGATCCAAAAGGCAAAAAACAACAACCCAGGTGGCGGTGGCCCAGAATGTGGTTGCCTCCTTCCAGGGTCTATTCTTGCCTGGTGCTTATGTGCACTGGTGCACTGGGGTCATGTTAGTTGAAGCTGTCACTAAATATCCCCATCATTTAAACTGTGGCATATAAAACAGTGAGTACTGGTTTCTAGGCCTTTCAATGGGAACAGCAGGGCTACTCCATCAGCTCTGCCGAGACCAGCTCCCAGTTTAGTTTCTCTCCCTAAACTCTTTCCATTTCAGCTGCTCATTAAAAAAACTGCATAAGAACTGGGACCTGAATCCACTTGCTTTCCTCCCCATCTCCTTTTCCTTTGTGCCATGTCTTTTAGATTGTAGGCCCGCAAGCAGCAACTGTATTGCTTTTAACATGTGCACAGCGCTAAGTAAATTCCCAATAGATTATTCATAGTAAGAGCAGCTCAAACTCATAGGGCGCTTCCAATCAGGGCATCCCTTTTATAAAAATCTAAACAGTGGTGGCTAACCTGTGGCCCACTGGATGTGGCTGGACTCCAACTCCCATCATCCCCAGCCAGCATGGTCCATGATTGGGGATGAGAGATGTAGTCTTGTGACATCTGGAGGGCCACAGGTCTGCCACCAAAATTACTTGCTTAGTCTTCAGTTACTAGAATCTAAACATGATGCTTGAAAACGCTCAGAACAAACAATCTTCATCAAATTTATCTATTTCACACCATGCAAAAACAAGAGAGAAGCAGCATCTATCAGTTCTTCATGATTTGACAAATTGCAGTAAAATCAGCTGGGACTAGGGTAAGTGTTTAGGTAAGTGCAACCATGTGCAAGCATGCCAAAGACCACTCATCAGGCAGCTGTCTGCAGCACATGAAAGGTGCAGAAATATGTGATTACGGTGAAGGTGGTACCTCATCATCATAACCTCCCTCCTCTGACTCATTCACATAAGTCCCTACATCAGGAATCGCCAGCTCTACAACTTTCTGTTTAGAAGCTGTTGGATCTGGGGCACTATCAGAATTCTGTGAGGGGGGAAATGAAAACATGACAGGCTTTAGATTGATTCTGTGAGGGGGGAAATGAAAACATGACAGGCTTTAGATTGCTCTGAGAACACTAGCAAAATCTTACATTCCTTTTTAAATATATAAATATTTTTTTAAATCGCTGCTGTTATAATTGCAAGTAAACAGTTTAAAACTAAAAGTTAAGGCCAACAGTAGGTTACATATACTTTATACTCATTTACATGGACAGCCTTATTATTCAGTAACTTTAGATTTCAATGCTTTCTCTCTTCTTAGCCTGGAAACGATCAGGTGAGGTAATTTATAAAAAAAAAAAAATTCATTTATATACTGCTTTTCATAAAATCCCTAGAGTGTTTTACACAGCAAAACATACAGCAAAAGCAATTTAACAATTGTAATTAAAACCCACATAATACACAACTGTCAGCAGAATACAAAATATAGCCTAGGAGAAAACAAGTCAAACACCATGTAAGCGTAAAAAATAGGAATTATTGGGTGAAAGGGTTTCAGGGTGTCTTAAAGGATCTGGGAAACAGGTGTGTTTTAAGAGTGCACTGAAACTGATCAACTGTTGACACTTATCATATCTCCAGAGGTAAGGAGTTCCATAAATGGGGTGCTGTACTGGATTCACGATATCTCCCCACTTCCCAGACATGGGAACTGCCCCTAACTGTGCCTTCATTTTGTAGGGATTCAATCACAGTTTAATGGCTCTCATCCAGCCCATTACTGTCTCCAAGCGCTGGTTTAGCACCTGCACAGCCACACCCAATTCAAAGAGAATGGTGAGAAAGCCCCAATTCAAGCTGTAAGCTGGCAACAAAAGATGCATGAAGATTTGGGCCCGATTTCCCTATATGGACATATTGCATCTTATTCTATTTCCCATAAACTTTGAACAATTAAATTCCCACTGAGTTCGTGGAACAAAATCTAAAATCTAAACTGAATTATAGCCCAGGGATTAATACCCAATCCATGTAGGAAGTTTAAACAGTTTGATTATACACTGTTTTTCTTATTACAAAGGTAGCCTTCAAATGAGGGGCGAGGGCATAAAAAAGTATACACAACTGTCACTTGTGAAGCGCAACAAGCGTGTTTATCTCTGGATGCCTATTTGTAGCAAAATGAATGCAGGCTGCACTTTACAAACAGCTACACACATTTTCTCCAAACGCTAAATTCATGTCTGCATAAAAACATTTACGTTTCAAGTCACTCACGGTCTGTAGCAGGACAAGCATATACTTATTAAAAACAAGTTGCCTTGGTGTATAATGTAGCAAGCAGCGAGGCTGCAGGAGCTGTCAAGATTGACCTTAGATTGCTGTACCGTAAGTTAAAACGGCCGCCTCTTAAGTTCTGAAACATCAAAATGACATTCCTTTTGGACTGGAGATATCATTTTAAATGGATGTTCAGAGGCGGATGCTTGACTGGGAAAATGTCGGAAATTTGTCAGTCGAAACAACAGTATTTTTTCACTGTCTTAGAAGCTTCTTGATCAGGGGTCAGCAAACTTTTTCAGCAGGGGGCCAGTCCACTGTCCCTCAGACCTTGTGGGGGGGGGAGTGGACTATATTTTGAAAAGAAAAAAATGAACGGATTCCTATGCCCCACAAATAACCCAGAGATGCATTTTAAATAAAAGGACACATTCTATTCATGTAAAAACACACTGATTCTCGGACCATCCGTGGGCCGGATTTAGAAGGCCATGGCTGGATCCGGCCCCCAGGCCTTAGTTTGCCTACCCATGTTCTTGATCATAAGAAATTGTAAATTGCTATGGCCTCAGTAAATTGTAAATACAATTAAGTATGAGAGCATGAAAAGAGTAACAGTGAAATAATTGGTTTACTGCTAAGCAAGAAAGTGTTCTCTTAAAAAGTAATGAATTATACTGCAAGTCAAATGAAATTAGGGTGAAACTTGGATACATAAGGCAATTTCTTGTTTTTCCAGAAAGTGGAAGAAATATTTTGATGACACTTAAAGTTATTAATGCGTAACAGTTTCCCCTGATATCATGACCTTACCTTCTGGAATAGTAGTTTGCATAGGCTTCTGTAGATAAAGCACTCATCTCCTGAAATGGCACACTCTTTCAACACAGAACATACAAGGGATGGACCCCATTGTGTAGTATGCACAATGTATCACAACACTGAAACTTTTCAGACAGAAAAGTGAACACAAAGACCTTTAGCTAAATCCTAATTGTTAGACAAACAATTTATTTACTTGATTGTAAATAAAAGCGCTAAGCAGTTTACCAAAGTCAGGTATAAATATGATAAATCTTTTGCATATAAAGGAGGAAGATATTTTGCATTTCCTTACCAAATGCAGAATAGCTTCAGGATTCTTCTCCTCTTGTTCAGTGAATGCTTTTGTGATTGCTCGTACAGAATCCTCTTTCAATTGCTTTGAGACATCAGTCCTTGAGGGTTGTTCCAAATATTCAGGTTCTTCTCCTTGAAGCGGGAAGCGGGTGGGGAAGGTAAATATTTTATGTTATAAATACATGCACAATATATCACAACGTTACAATGTTACAATTAGGTACAATGTTACAATTAGGTACAATGTTACAATTAGGTACAATGTTACTTAAGAAGAAGAAGAGGAGGAGTTTGGATTTGATATCCCGCCTTTCACTCCCTTTTAAGGAGTCTCAAAGCGGCTAACATTCTCCTTTCCCTTCCTCCCCCACAACAAACACTCTGTGAGGTGAGTGGGGCTGAGAGACTTCAGAGAAGTGTGACTGGCCCAAGGTCACCCAGCAGCTGCATGTGGAGGAGCGGAGTCGCGAACCCGGTTCCCCAGATTACAAGACTACCGCTCTTAACCACTACACCATACTGGCTCTCTTTTCTGATTAGGTTAAATTTACTGCTTTCAATGGGTCAATACTAACTGTATGATTAACTGTATTGCAAACTTGACAAAAACAAAAAGGAATGATATCCTACATTAATGTTATCAGCATGATGTTTACCTCTCACATCAGAAGCTTAAGCAGCTACTGAAAAGAAGCGATAAACAGCAGCAATACGTTGTGATAACTGGGTACACTTCTAGAACTGTTTAGGACTCTTGTACTGGACATTCTTTTTTTAACAGGTTTATGTATGCTCTCATTCTCTGATTCTACTTGCTGGGAGGAGAAAGGGAAGTGTACACTTAAATTAGCTTTTAAATTTACCAACCTTGTGAGAGGTTTTTAAGCTCTTTAAGGTGTGTGAGAAGGGTGTTTGTTAATTTTTCTTGCTAAATAATTAAATGCCTTTATCTACATTTGTCTGTTTGCTCGTGGTCCAACTGATGTGCCTGCTTTCCTTCCATCTACAGGTTTGGGGAGCTGCTGGTTGCTTATGAGCTGTAGTCCCTTTGCAGGTCTTGAATAATCAACAATTTAACCCCCTAACAGAAGAGAAAGCCTTACAGAAGCTGCTTTCTTTACTGACCTGGGGTAGTGGAAGGCATAGGCACCCCGGGTGTTGGGGATGTTAATGTTTTGTCCTGTTGTGCTTTCAGAGCAATCTGTGCATCCCAATCTTCCAGCTCTTTTTCAAAACGCTTATTGTCTTCTTTGACATAATCTCTTAGATCAGGAGGTAACGTTTCCATTCCAACAACCATAAGCCCTGTTTCCTTGTTGAATTCCTCTGTAACAGCATATGATGTGTTTCATGCATCAAATAAAACCATGAAAGCGTGCACAAATTATTTTACAAAACATTTAAAACCAAGTATTTCAATCAGTTTCACAAAGGAGTTAGCTCAGGATCTTTAGTAAACTAAGTTTTAGCTCTTTGTTTAAAAATTGGGGGAGGGCACTAAAAAGTTGCATCATTGTACCTTTTACAGCAATGCAACTGTGCTATCATTTATTATCACGCTATTAGTTAGATGAGAGATCCAACCCTGTATTTACTGGCATGTAAAACAGCAAGAGGAAAAAACCATCTGGAGGGAAATGGGGTACTTAAGCTTCCTACTGCAGTCCTGTTCCCTGTGCCCCCCGCCTTCACCTTTTCCTTTGCAACCTGATTTCTCTAGCTACTTTTATCCCAGCTGATAGTTCTTAGGTTTATTTGCCAGTCAGGTGGATAAAAGTGGTGGGAAAGGGGAAGAGAATTGCAGATGGACGTGGGAAGTTTCCAACATCCCTCCTCATCCACCACTAAAAATCCCTTGCCACTTCCTTTGGTATTTACTTTATAGTAGGCCTGTTAAAACTCAAGAACGAAATTCCAACCCAGCCAACTAATTACATGTATGTGTCCAATTTGCAAAGCAGAGTGCCTTGTGGGTGTCACACCTCCTTGGGTGTAAGGAACAACTAAAGTCACTGAGACATTAAATATATTCAACTCAAATTCTGCTTTTCATATCACCGTAATATTACCTTGTATCAAAAATGGTTCTTTATCATTGATATACATTAAGCAGTAAGCACTTGCGTTCCGGTATCCACCAAATGAGTCACGTTCAAGCTCTTCCCAAGTAGACTTTGTAACAGAAATATCATTGTACTTCATCCACCTCCTTTGGTAACTATCATAGATATATGCCCAGTAGTGTCCTGCATTAGCCTGTCCTTCATGAACTAATACTGCATGTAACCGATACGGAACCTAAGTAAAATAAAATCAACGGGAAGTTAGGTCACAATAATTAGCAAAAAGGATGAAGAATAAAAAACAGACAGGAATAAAGATTTAATCAGAGGCTTATCAAACAGAAAAAGAAAGCTCGTGTAAAAATTGTTTCTTCTCATCAATTCCATAAAGTACTTGGCATCCAGCTTTACCTGCTCACTTCTACCTGCTCTGGATTAAAGGAAATACGAGTGGCTAGTTTCTTCCACTGTCATTCTGAACTTTGTCACAATTTAGCAGAAACATTTCCACATTCACAGCTACTCAAGTAGTTCTCTTAAGTATGCATAGGATTTGAGTACACAAATGATAATGTATGTTACAGGAAAGCAAGTTGTTCAAGTTTGAGCTGCAGTTACGCTCAACTGAAAATAAGTTTAACATGGGTCAACTAAAATGTGTGAATGCATCAACTTGCTCCCCACCTCCACAAACTGCAAGCTTCATAGGTCTCAAGTTCTGTCTGTTATGCTTTCTGTATCTAAAATAGCCAATTTCAAGGGGAAACTAAAGAAAAAGAATGGGCATGACAGTGATTCAAAGGAACTGAAACAGATTGCTGATCTTCCGCTTCAAGACAACTGTTGTGATCTACCTAAAACAAGGGTGAAGAAGCAATTTAGACTACAAAGCAAAAGGGCTGTGTGAAATACAGTTCCTGTTCAATGCATCTTCACTGGCTACACCAGTTTACACATGGCTCCAGCATACAGGCTGCATGCTCAACAGAGAAAAGTTTCATGTCTCAGGCTTATGTATACAACTTTTCATGTTAACCGATCATAAGAGAGTAGGTCCTGCAGAAGTTGGAAAAACCTTAGAAAAAACGAAGAAGAAGAAGAAGAAGAAGAAGAAGAAGAAGAAGAAGAAGAAGAAGAAATTATTTCTATCCCGCCCTCTCCAGCCAGAACCAGGCTCAGGGCGGCTAACATGAATATATATATATAATACATTAACATAAAATTCAGCAATCGACTGAAATACAGCTTAAAATCAGATTAAAATCAAAAAAGATCAGATGGCTACACGCAAATTATAACTATAACTATAGGGGTTGGGAACCTTAAGTACTCACCAGGCTCAGCTATTTGTATGAGCCGGTGAGAAGAGTTAGAGAGGCCACTTATATGCAGGGTCTTGTAAAAGGAGAGGGGTCAGACTGAGCCCCGACCAAAGCCTGGTGGAACAGCTCCATCTTGCAGGCCCCGTGGAAAGATGTGAAGTCCTTCAGGGCCCTGGTCTCTTGCGGCAGAGCATTCTACCAGACTGGGGCCAGGGCCAGAGAAGCCTGGCTCTAGTCAAGGCCAGTCTAACCTCCTTGACGCCCGGGACCTCCAAGATGTTATATAGTGCAATGGTAGATGAGAACCAGAAGTAAACTCTCATAAAATACACAATTGGTCAGTATTATTGCTATATTATGGTAATAGATTCTCTTTCATATGGAAATGATACTTACCTGCACCATTGATTTGTCAGTGTACATTAACTCAATTGTCCGCTGTATTCTAGCTATGCTTTCCTGCAAATCTAAGATGAAAGGAAAATGAAGTCATTCCCTCCAATATTAAAATTCACATTTCTACAGATAAACACAATTATTCCACTACTGGCTACTACTACTACTACTACTAAGATTAATTTTCCATCCTTTCTTCCATAGGAGGCCCAGAGAAGCATTTTCATGCCAAATAATTATGAATCATCACTTCCTCCTGCATTTTAAAAGAAATTTTAATTCATTCTGGTACTGACCATGAAATATATTCTCTCCCTCGAGAGCTTTGCCCAAATCTGCCAACAATGTCAAACATCCCATATATAAAAATGAGATCTACTGGTTAGAACTTTACAGATCACCCTTAAGACTTAGATGGACAGTGGTTTACCTGGCAACCATTTACTGACTGCTTGCCTTCCCCAATTGTGCAGGACAGACTGCATAGCTTAAACATAAAAACTGCCTCCATGTAATCAAAACTACCTATACTTTGCCAAGTACCAAGTCAGAAGAAGAAGAAAAAAATTGCTGGATGTTACAGCCACTGCCAGCAAATTTTGTCTGCCTTGGCAAGCAACCCAAATGACACTTGCCAACTCCATCCCTTTTCAGAGACGGGAGGAGTAGAATGTCACATTCAATATAATACTGAGCATCAACTAGACTATGGGGCTTAAGCTCAAGCCCCTGTCATGCTCTAAGCTAGACCGGGGAGAGCAATGGCTCCGGCCTGCCAACCTGAGCTTCTCTAAAACAAGTGCTTTGGATAAGGCATCATCTAAGCTCCAGAAAAGAGTGAAGACGATGGCAATCTCTTGGCCTTGGCCAAACCTCCCAGCCAGTACCTCTAGTGTCATTTTCTACTTCTGTCCTCCAACGATGTAAACATCCCTCAAGGACTGAAAGCTCCTCTTCAGTGATGTGTCTTGGTGCTGGGTGCATTGGCAGGTCTGGTGGAATCCGAGATTGTGTGAATGGCTTGTGTATTACCGACCGCTGTGCAGGCGATGTGCTTTGTGTATCTGTAGAAGGCCCCTGTTGTTCTGTTGTGCTACATTTGTTGAAAAGATGAAACATTCAATCTAAGCAACTGAATCAATATATTCTCTCAAAAGATACTACACACTGACAAAAAGGCCTCTGGATTCTGAAATTAATGCTGTTCCAAGCCATCTTTAAAAGATGTCCCTCGCAGAACACAATGTCTGAAATCTGACAGAAAATTTGGGGGTATGAACACAAGAACTTATACATTTTGTTCTCCCGTACCCCCAATTATGCCTATAAATCAGACTACCACCTCTGACATCAACTCCTCTAGAGTAAGTAGTATGCGGGACTTGGGACCCCTCCTAGTCTTCAGAGCTTTTGATATCAAACCTCATGTCTCATCGATTGTGCCAATGTCTTTTATTTTTCACTAATGAACTATTTTCTGGAATACATGTTAATAAATACATTTTTCTTAAATAGCATTTAAGAAAAGATATAAGGCAAATAACAAAATCAGTGTAAAACCACCTCATTTGTACACAATTAAGTTGCTTAAAGTGAGATTCTAGGTATCTCACATGGCTTTGTGATACAAAGCTGTGCAAACCATGGAGTATTTTCCCAAATGGCTCCATACAAGGTCTAAAGGTACATGCAGTCAGCATTACCTAGAAAAACTAAGCAGGTTTGGGTCTGGTCAGTGCCTGGACAGGTGACTGCATGGGAACTACATGGGTTTCATGACAGAGAGGTAAAAATTAAATGCAGAAGCATAAATAAATAATTTCAAGTATTTTTAAAAAATAATTATTTGGTCATTAATTGATTAATTAACTTCAGCTAAGCAAATCATAATTAGAAAGACTGAACACATGTGATGCATTTTTTACCTTGGTATTGCCTGTGTCGACAAAGTACCACTAGGGAGAGCACTAGTATTAAGATCCTCAATAGGAGACGTACAAACTGGCTTACTTGATGCAAACTCCAGAGCATACTGTAGGACATCTACCAGGGGAAATCTCTTAGGACCGGAACCGTAGCTTAAATATCTGCCAAAACATATTAATACCCTCATTACATGCTCAAATATCTCCAAAACACATGCTTCATATTCTACATTTACAGTGTAACTGTAGGAAAGAGTTTTAAGTTATTTCATCTGCTATGGATGACTTGCAGCTTGCACAGGGTTAGGTTCTGCACACTGTGCATAAAGCTGAACTTGCATATACCTAGAATGACCCCAGAATCGCCCTTTTGTGACTATTACTACCTTTCTGGAGCAGGTGGGCCAAGTGGACCTTGCGGATGGAGAGGTTCAAAGCTCTTTCTGTGAGGGAAAACCCTGGTGCGAAAAGAGCTTTTAGGCTCTCTGCCTTGCAAGGGTCTAATTTGGGTGATTGTGTGCTGGCCGGCCACCAAGTGTATATAGTGTTTTGAGAGTAATTCTGGCTGATTTTTATGCCAGCAAACTCTTCTGTCTACCATGGTTGCAATAGGCCTGGACCACTTGGAAGTCAGTGCACACAAATACCTATGCATCCTATAGAATGTTGAGACAGATTGGACAGTTATCTGACTTGGTATAACACAGTTTCCTGTGGTTTCACCACTATGGGGAAAAACCAATTTCAATAAAAGACCACTTTACCTATTTCTTATGACTCTAGAAAAAAGTAGAATAAAATAAAGGCAAAATGAAAGAAATTCTGGGGAAATAATAATATAAGGGCAAAACAGGTTCCAATTTGTAGATCAGAAATTTATCATGACTATCAATATCAGAATTTTAAAAAACATATTACCGTTCTAGTCTCTGCTGCAATATTGTGAGGTATTCTTTAAGTCTTTTTATTTCTTCCCGCTTTATTCGTGTAATTTCTCTGTTTTTGTGCATATATCTGTCAACAGAGGTATATCTGTCAACATTTCAGTAACAGGAGCACATAGCATCTGAACACTTTCTTGTAATAATTTAACAATATTTTGATATTACAGACTTTCATAGAAAGATATTCAATACTGTTTTCTTGTTGCCTGAATAACAGGTAAATACATCAACTGGCTACTGATCATGAAAAAAAGTTATGTACACATACAGATACAGTATATATTTCTAAACTATTTTCCATTGTCAGATTCCAACTTAATTGTCTAGAACTGTTATTGGAAAGTGAATTTTTAAAAACTTTAGGAAGCTCCCTCCTTCCCCTGGCATTAGGAATGTTACCACAAGCCACAATCCTATTCACACTGACCTGGGAGTAAATCTTATTGTACTCATTGTGGCTTATTTCCAAGCACCTATTGCAGAGAATTGTGCTATGACCTACCGTTCTATTTTATCCTGAAGTTTCAAGATAGCTAACGATACTGCTTAATTCTACCAAGTGTAGAGAGATGCAGAGTAGACAATAGAGTCAGAACCATCATCCACCTGTCATCATCTACTATACCTTATCTGAAGAAGATATCACAACTATTTCATGACGTGCATATTCTGGGTGAGCCTCGAGGTCAGTGGACATAATGGGTCTTTCCCTGTCTCTCCCCATTCTCTGATACCCTTCGCAATTATTTTCTGGAATGTCCCAACCCTCTAGGGAAGATTTGGGGAAGGCAAGGTCTAAAGGGGGTAGAAAGGAAGGGGAAGTCCCACTGTGTCTGCTTGTGTGACGCTGAGTCTTGCCCTGAGGCTCACCCTGAGTGTAGCTAAGTCTTGTTAGGTAAGCCAGATGCCACAATTTGGTATCACCAGCCTCCATCTTGAGCACCAGCTTCCTGTACCTTGAATCTATTTGTTCCCCTGAGGCACACAGCTTGCGCTGAAGTGAATCAGAAAGTTTTATGAATTCAAGTCTATGAACAGTGCAAGCAATGTAATTAGAAGCCACAGCAGACGTAGGATGAACATCTTTGTATTAATGGCAACATATTTACAATATTCATCTATTTGTAGATGAAGAAATATATTACTGCCATAAAAAAACCTGTTATAAAAACATTAAATGCCATATTTGAGAACAAAATATGAGTTAAAGCTCACACTCGGGAAAAGAAAACAATATAAATGTTTTCACCTCACTGATTCTGGAAGTGCATTTTATTATATAGCTGATATTCAGCCTTATTCATTGAATATATTCAACTCCTGGAATTACAAAGTCTCAAAGCAGTGGCTTTGGTTCACATATACAGTGTAACCCTATGGACAATTATCCGCAGGAAGCTCCACTGGTCACAACAGGATTTAGTTCTGACAAAACATGCATAGGATTGACTTCTATCATTTCCTACGGGGAGCTGTAAAAACTTTTCATTGGGTAGAAACTAAAAAGTTAACATGTCAGATAATTGGCTGCTACTATCTACACATTATAATTATTGTCCGTTATCTTTTGCAATATACTATTACATAAGCTTCTGTACCTGTCTAGGTATAGAACTTGAGGGAATTCTAATTTGTTGTGTATCTTCTCTGGTCTTCCCAAAGCCTGGTTGAATTCAAATCTTGAAAGCTCAAAGGTTAAGACAGGAGGAAGTTCAGTAAACCAGTGCTGAGGAAAAAACAAAACACAAAAAAGAGTTAAGGAATATGCCTTTCGACTCGAATTATTAAAGTGGGGGGGGGTATTTTAGGGAATAAATCAAAGTAAACTTTCCATGGTGCATCTTTTACAGTTGTATATCTAAAAAATAAATAAAATATTTACTTTAGGTCAAACAAGGAATATATATTATCAGGTTCCAGTATAATGCCAAGAGGTCTGTTCAGCATATGCTGAAAACAAGGCAGTTCTGGGAGATCATAAAGATCTATAGAAATTGAAACCACACAAGTTGAGTTACATTAAGGCTTGTGTATCCACTACATCAACCACTGAGACAAACACGCTGCTGTTAGGCTTTCTTCTAAAATAGTCTCTTTCTTTCTCGCCTCCTTCAAGCTAAGAAATTTTTTAGGGCTCACTTTATAAGCACTATAATAGTGTGATCACTACATTCACATTTAATTAAATGTTTTCCTTTAATTTAAAATCTGATGGCATCTTGTATTTGCTGGCAACTGGTAACTGTACAGCAATGTATTCCAACATCATAATTACTTTCTTTTTAAAGTTTATTTACTACCACTGATAATTCTGTGAACTGAGATGTAGTGCAAAAAATTAAGTTGATTAAAATCCAAAAATAGCTTATTTTCCTATATGAAAATTTGGAAAAGCATTGTACACTATCTTTGCTGTATTCATGTATTTAATCCAAACTACTGACCTTGGCATATAATAATCAAAATGTGTCAGATGCATATAATTTTGTAGTGTCTGCTTTTCTAGAAAATGAACAGATCTGTTCTCTTTATTCCAACTCACTAGGCTGAACTTTGCATTGAGAAACTCTTTGGGAAAGATGTTATCCTAGAACCTTAGAGAAGATCAGGACAAAAAATAAAAAAAATATGAAAAACACAAAATGATGTTATCTACAAAGAAAGCCCAATAGTTCTGGAAAGATTTCTAGACATACCTGAGAAATAACCTCCTATTCACAAGGAAAACTCATTTTATAAAACTGATTCTCACATCTTCTCCAAGTAGGAAAGCTTTATAAATACAAGGTTGAGTGAGAAGATACAATTATTATGTTTTTAGCTTCCTTCATTAAAAGTGGAAGTTTTCTCCGTTCCATTTTTAAATGCCAGAATTTGGTTTTGTAGCAAAGAATTGTATCTTCTAAAACTTAAAAGTCAAGTGCAAGAGATGTTTCTTCATCTGAATACATGCAAAGTAGTGAAATCTTTACCCAAACTCTGCCTTGCTGTCAATTTGACACAAATTCTAAAATTTTAGAATGTTTAGGCCCATATATTAACAGGACATAAATCCACCATCTGCAAGGCATAAATGTATGAACACCCCTAGATAGCCAACGATCCAGTCCTGTTTTCTCATACTGTTGACAAGTGGAAGATCCTGTTACACACCAGAAATATTTACTCTCATATTTCTACCAGGGCAATATGGAATTTTTGTGGTGTAAGAACCACCACCTGAAGATGACACTCTAAGTCCATAGTAAAGAATAAGCTGTATTTCCTTCCTCCTAGATAGGAGATGTATTGCATAATTTAATTGACATAGTCTGATGCAATGAATCACTCAAGCATAAAGTTTACTGGGTTGCCAAGAGCAAGCATAATCTAAATCCAGATCACCTTTCCAGTTCTGTGGCAAAAGATAAACCGTAGAACCAGTTGGAATGTAATTTTAGATCAACTCATTTATTGAAATAATTCAAATGTTTCCAGCTACACGTTTCCTCTCTTGAGCTACCATGTCTAAATATTTTCCGAACTGGTGGTTATCAAAAAATATCTGAGATGAAAGTGGGCAAGTCTTATCAGCGTAAATAAATGACCTGCCAAAATGACTTGCATTTGTGCCATCTATATTTTCAACTAGGTCAGCTTCATGGAAACGGTTACCAATGTCTCTAGAAGTCTAAGCATATCACTCACCTCCTGGCCGGACTTCCCAGAATTTTCTGAGTGCAAGGATTCAATTTCCCCTTCTATCATGGCAGCTTCTAGGCACTCGTGTAGATCTTTGAAGCCATTAACCTGAAGTGGGTACTGGCCAAACATCTCTGTATTTTCAAATTTCTTCCCTTATCAGAAGAGGGAGGAGTTAAGATTTCAACAACGAACATTTATCATCAAATACACTATGAAGATGCATTTAATTTCATAGCAGCTCTTAGATAAAGCTGATTATAAAACTAACTCACTTATCTGCATGCTATGTGAAATGTCTGCTGTGAGCTATGCAGCAGGAGGTTGTGCTATGGAAAGTGGAAAAGCAAGTAGGTGTCCTTTCTCCTTTTCATCCCCCTAAAACACCCCGATACTGTACAGAGAGGAGCAGCACATTTAAGCCTTACAGCACACCTCCCCTCAAGCCTAACCACTTCCCACCTTTTCCAGGTTACTTACTCCAAGTGGTTAGGGCTGAGCAGGCCAATTTCCTCTTCCTCTTCTCCCCGACTCCAGTCCCCCACCCACAGCAGCCCACTATTGTTACATCATGAAGCCCCATATATGGGAGGACTTCCCCAATGATCTCAAGTGGCAAGGGTAGCTCTGGAGGTATGGGAGAATGTTGGCAAAACTACCCAGCACTGATACTAAGCTTGATGCCTTGTAAACAGATGTACCACCTTTTAGCTTTTAGTTTCCACTAGATTCTGCCAAACAAAATTCTGCTGCACTTACACACCATTATCTGGAGTATTTAGAACGTTTTCCCAAGATTTTCACTTCACTGCTTCTACACACAGAGAGACTTGTATGCACTATTTTCGTTCATCAGTAACATTTTGATTAGAGAGAAGATAACTTAAGACTGTTCCCACTCAAGAGCAGTACCTTCAAGAACTCCAACTGCTAGAAACCGCCCATAAAACAGCTCTACCATCGGGTTCTTTGGCTTTTCTCCATCCCTAAAAATACAATGATTAAAAAAAAAACACACACACAGGAATTACAAGTGTAATCTGCTTCAAGAAAATATAAAAAGTCTGCATTCAACAGAGCCAACACTTATTTTATTGACCCTATTTTATTGACCCATATGCTTTTAAAAGAACCAGGAGAATGTGAGGTGTGTGTTTTTTTACAAAATTTATTGTTATTAATTTATTTGATGTGTATCCTGATTTTTCAAGCAGAGTCCACATAGTGGCTGATATTAACAAATTACAACAGCTTCACTATAGATATTGCACTTAAAGCAAGCAAAAAGCCAAAATGTACACATGGAGGATGCACAGTTCCTGTAAACACAGGGAAGCAGAACAAGGGACAATGCCAAGCTGACCCAGGGGCTGGTGGGTGATGGTTCTTTCCCCATTTCCTTCCTCTACCCCCAGCTCTGTCACAGGGCAGTTCTTCACATGGCTGACTTGTGGGGAGGGGGCAAAAAGAAAATAGGTGATGTCATCTTTGATTGCCCTCTTCTCTCTCTCTCATTTGATATTAGATGGCTACTGTAATCATATTTAATCAGTATTGCCACTACTGGAAATGATTTTTATTTATTTTTCTAAGAATAAATGAGAAGCACATTTAGATTCCCGAGGGTGAATTTTTGAGCAAAGTCCTTCTACTCCAAGGAACAAAACTTGTCCTACAGGAAATCAGAAGACACTGCTGGTTTCTTAAAATGACTACTTACTGTTCCTCTTCAGCTTTTATTTGGAAGGCATCCTCTAACCAGTCTAATAACTTGTGTGTGAATTCACTGACATCTTGCTGTTGAGAGAGTAAACAAATGCACATTCAAATCTACTAGTCAAGAAAATATTCTATCCATCAGCTATGATACTTGTAGATATTAATTCTCCTATGGCTGATATAATGGGAAGCTCACTGCATTGTGTGAACTGCTGTGCAAACACAGGACAGGGGTGGGTCCAAATACCTTACAAAGGGCTTTTGGCTACTAAGCCATATTAAAGTAATTGGCATTTTCCCATACTAACTTACTTTTCAACAGCTTATTGATTTTTTTAAAAAATATATTTTTTTGGTAAACTGCTGCGATTTACAATCAAGTGGTATGTAATATTTTATTAAATAAATAAATGAACTGTAAAGGGTAGCAATCAGCATGAGATTATTTTTACAAATCAAGCTATACATACATTTTCTGAAATAAATGAATATATAAATAGAACAGTCCTACTCAGAGTATGCCCATTTAAGTTAATGGAAATTGCAAACTTAGGTTCATTCATTTCAATGGGTCTACTCTGAGTAGGTTTGGTTGAATATAGCCTGAAGAATCAGATTCAATTCCACTACTATATTGCAAACTGATATTTTGCTTTACAAATTTAGCTCTGTAGGCAGAAATAATAGCCTGCTGCAACCGTTATTGACTTCTCAATCTTCTGTAGGGCTGTGTCTATTAAGAGTGAAACCATAGCAGCTTCAGTGAATAGCAAACACAGTGCCAGTCCTTCAGATGCACTTTTAGCATGGCAAGATGGTTTCTGTTACCTATTTCCTAGAGATTCCATTATTCTAACATAAGCCAAGATAAATACCAATTTATATAAATGAGGGACTTCAGCAGTTGAATAACTGAACTTCTATCCTTGGTACAGATGTGCATCAAGTAAGAAAATGTTACTCGGTTTTAAAATGTTATGCTTACTATTTGAAAACCCAGAACATAAAATTGAAATAAAATTAAAAAGTGTATATGGAGTCCAGGATGTATTAATAGGTGCAAAGACCGTGCAATTATCAGAATACTGCATAATATCTGATCACAGCAGCTAAGTGTGGTTTGTCTCATGGTGAAGTAGCAGAAATTGCAATGCCATGTTTGTATGCTTGGTTCAACTATAATTTATATGGTTATTTCTATTCAAAATAAGATAGAGTATTAACATTACCTGCTGAGAGTCATTAGATTTGAATGCATCTTTCAGGATTTCCACAGCTCTTGATGGATCAACATATTTTCTTTTTGAGCCAAAAAGAAGTGCAAATAAGTATCTTAGCTCACGCATAAAAGGCAAATTTCTATTTTCCTGTGTACAAAATAAACAAACAGTTATGAGGTTGGTTTTTTTATACTTCATATTGCCACATTATAATTTCTAAATTACTGCTGCGTAAATAAACTACCAAGAATGCTTTTCTGCAATAGCAATCATAACCTTGTCTCTCAAAAAACAACTAAACATACAGTCTGGGGGGAAAACAGCTCAATGAATGACTACTACTACTACCAAAAATCCAATGACAGTTGTACCGTTTTAAGACAGGAAAAATACTTCTTATTTCCCTGCCTCAATTCCATTCCACAGAAAGGGGACTAATGGCCTAGATAAACCAAGGAATCAGTTATACTAGTGTCAAATGATAAATTCTAGTCCTCTGCCATAGGGCAAATCCCTATCTTCCCTTTAACCATCCCACTATTCCCATGCATTAAATAGGTAATAGTTACACAGATATTGATATCTTGAAGCCCTGGAAATGTCACCAGTGATCTGCACAGCATGTCACCACAAGTCACCAGAAGAGATGGAAATGAAAATGAAGACTTCTCTCAACCCCTGAAGCTCAATTCTATTATCTGCAGCTGGTGTCCAAAGCTAGTTTTACTTGCTTGCCTTTAAATGCAAAGTAAAATGCGCTTTGCTGAAAGTCTGCAGCATTATCAAGAACTTAGATGCCTCTCTGCAGGCCTTAGAATGTACTAAAAAACACACACACCCCTGCCTCCTTCCCTACAGACCTCTTGGGCATTAAGATTGGCAGGGTGTAGTTCTAAGAAGATCAGGAGGTGGCAACCTGGGAGAGGACATTCTCTATGGCAGTCCCTCCCCACAGATGTGCATCAGGCATCTTCATTATGCTGTCTTTGTTGTAAACTGAACATGTACTCCTTTATGCTGGCCTTTGACAACCAAGATAATTATAGATTAGGTCCCACCATATTCTCATGGCTGTAATTTGTTTTAACTGATTTCAGTAATGCATTTTTGAATTGTTGTAAACCACACTGAGGTCTCACAGTTAAGGGCAGGTAAGAAAACTAATAAATAATAGTTTCCATTGGCTGCAGCAGAACCTTGGTGCTCATGTTGTACGCTGCTGAATATGACCCTTTCCACACCATTCTTTCAATACCACATCTGAATTTTCCCAAACTAGGGCAAAACACAGTGGGGTATTCTGCATTAGGAAAAGCATTATGTTAGTCTATTGGTAATGTATATTTCTACTTATACCTTTTGGTTTCGGGGCAGATCTTGAGCGCCGGCAGGAGGACTATAATTCAAGACTAGCCTTCGGAATTCCAGCAGATTAAATAACGACTGAAAAAGAAAAGGCATTTTATATAACCTTTTAAAATTGCAGATCATTTAATGTGTTTGGTATTTACACTTTAACATACTTAAAAATACAGCAGAAGTACGGAACTGGTTTGTGGGTTGTAGCCCATATGGAGTGCCTTGTATGCTTTTTGCTTTATTCTGAAAAGCTTTGTGGAGAAATCACTTTTCTTTAACTGTATTTTCAGAGAGTTTTTTTCTCTTAAAAGGAATGGTTGAAGGTATTCAAAATGTGGAATGTAAATGGTTCATTGTACTGTATAAACAATACATGCTTTCTCCGGGAACTGTAAGATAGCCAGTATCAGAATGTGCAGGTTGCTGACAAGAGTTAACCAACAGTAGATTTTGACTTGTCCAGTTAAGAGATCCTGTCTCATCCTGTTGGAGTACAGCTGTGGACATGAGGAGGAGGAATCCTACTCATATTTTAAAAGACAGTTGGAGGGCACTCCAAATGCAGCTTCAACATACCCTCTGGTCATGTACTATGCTTAACAATTCCCATATGACCAAGCTCTTCAGAATATTTAACATATCAAACCTTAAGTATTGTTCCTTTTTTTTCTGAACACATTTATACAAGCTCCCAGCTTTTCAAAACTAATTTCAAATTGTCTCACTGTTCTGGTTTGAGATTACTGCTTTCTGCCAAGTCTACACTGACATCAAGTGCCATGGTAACAAGCTATACATAAAAACCTTAACTAATAGCAGCTTCCTAGCAACACACCAGTTGTAGCTCAGAGCGGGGGGGGGGGGGGGGTCCATTATGGGGGGGGCAGGAAAGTAATTTAAAGAAGTTAGACATACAACTCAAACACCTGCAAGTTTACCAAGAACCAAATCACGCTATGCCCAAGTGCACTCACTCTTGGGTAACTGTGCAAAGGACAGCAGCCTTAAAGGCATCTGAATTAAGTGGCAGCAATACTCAGGGCCACTTCAAATGTTACAAACTCTTGCAGTTCTCCCTCTTGCACCTTCTACCATTGCACAGAGTGCTGGACTGACTGGCTGAGACCCAAATGGTTCCTGAATCTCGATTTGGGTCAATTCTACAAATAGCATTTTAGATACTACTGAAGAAGCAAGGTGAAAAAAGGCCTAAGCTGCTCATGCTTCTTCCTTGTTTGGGGGGTTATAATGGATTCAGGGATGCCACACACAAAAGAGTAAATGGCAATGTAACATTTGGCATCAATACTACTGCTGCTGGCTGAATCATACTTAGCTTTCACAAAAAGTATGGCATTAAAGGGAAGAGCACACACCACACAAAAAGCACACTCTACAATATGTTACAGCTGAGACGGTGGGAGAGCTTCATGGGAGCCTATGCACTGCTTAAAAGGGTGGCAAATGATTAGAAAAGAACCAAGGAGATTCATGCCAGATATTTTTATCTTCTGATTAATGAAGACGTTTATGCTGTTAACTGAAGAAATGTTACTGTTATTGATTTTAGAACTATGCAGAACAAAAAAAGGATGAAAGGTAAGTACTAGAAAAAGTAAAAGGCTAAATAAATCTCGGGATATAGATGTTATATTCTACAAACTTTAAGAAGCAGATTTTGTTATGGCTTTGAGTGGGGGTCTTGGGGTCTTCATATTTAGTATTGCTCATTATAGATGCACTGCTGAAATATATTTTAAAAATCACCTTCAGTGCTGAAGCTAGCATGCATGGAAGTTGCATATAAGTTTCCAGAAAATATTGTATCCACACAGAGATTTGTGTTACCACACGCTCTAACAGAATGTTCAAAACAACTTTCCTTTTCTGGCAGATGATACTGACGGAACAAAAACAAACTTTTGGCTTAAGATGCAATTGGTAGAAACCAAAGAAATGATCCATAAAAAGATAACATCAATATAGCTAAACTTTCATTAGGACTAGTTTTGAAAGGGAAATTTGCAACAGCAGCGTAAGATTTGTTTTCGTTTCACCGTAGTACTATACCACACAGCACGTCATTGATTAATGAAAGCAACATTACACATTGTTGACCTCTTATGAAAATGTGTCAGATTTCAAAAGACCCCTAGGGAAAGCATGAAATATTGCCCCACAGTGGATGCAATCTAAGGAGCCTATCAATCCTGTGGTTAAATAAATACTGTAGTAGGTAATGTCCAAATTTATCCCACATGAAGTCAACGAGGATGGTAACTTGAAACATAATCTGATCTGGTTGTCAAACAAAACAGATAAACTTAAGAATCTGTATTTCTGTCACTACAAAATTGTAATGTATCAAACCTAGCATTTTGATAGCAATTTTAAGGCAATCATTTTATTTCAAATTTGTACCATGTATGTGGTAGATAGCAGCCAATATAATATGACTAAGAGGTATAAAGTTGCATATGGGTGGCATTAATATGAGATCACAAGACTAAGGTCAGTTTTCAAGCCTCTTGACGAGATTAAATTTCCACTACTTGGACATGCATAACTACTGGAAATGTGGTCTATTGTAAGCAGGAGGGAAAACTAGGATTTGAAAAGTTCATTCGTCCTTCTCTATTTGATTGGCATAACACCATCACAGAGGAGAAGAAAAGGACTACATAAAGGCAAAAAGGATCACCCAAATGTCTAGAAGGACATACTCCAGCACACACTGTGGTTTTATCACAGTGTTTCATGGAATTGTAGAATTGGAAAGGACCCTGAGGATCATCTAGTTCAACCCCCTGCAATGCAGGAAAATGCAGCTGTCCCTTACAGGGATCGAACCTGCAGCTTTGGCTCCATGCTGTGTGTCATAAAACTTGTATTGTTCCAGGGGCCTTCCTAGTGTCTATACAGGAGTGCCACATGCGTTTCACAAAGCAACTAAGTCAAGCCACAGTTTGGATGAAGCCAAACTAATTCACTGACTTACTCATTTTAATGCTCGATGTTTTATTATGGTTTTATATACGCTGTAAGCCGTCCAGAGAGGCTAAGGAAACCCAGCCAGATAGACGGGGTATTATTATTATTATTATTAATCATCATCATCATCATTATTATTGCATGTTTATCTTCTTAACAGCCAAGATTTCTTTAGCATAAATCCCATACTCTAGTGGCAATTCTAATGACAAATTGATTTTGTTAAGTGTAGATAATACTGAACATTTTCTGCTGCTTCGTCTTATGTTCCTGCACAGCATGTTCTTTGTGTGTTAAATGAGTTACTTGTATCTCCGGTATATATAGGTGCTGAGTACATACCATGGTTCAATTTTTTACTTAAGTGTATAAATCTTCTACCTGTATAACTGCACTGAACCAGCATGTATTGCCAACGTTTTTCAATCCCACCGGGCAATTATCCTGACGTTTTCTATCATACGGATTCGGAGAGTCACTCCACACTTCCGGATGTGTCCTTTTCAAACTTGCTTTGTTTTCTGCTATGCTGGCTTCTAAAACTCTTAGAAATCAATGGAAATAATGAGAAAATGGAAAGTAAGCAACAATATATCAAGATCATGTCATTACGGGAAACACAACAGCTCAGAAACTTAGGATACATCAGTACAGATTTTTCCAACAAGTAATGATTATGCAACTGGGCTTATATTGAGCAATTTTATTTATTTATTTATTATTAATTAAATTTCTATACATCATCTGATCTGCATGCATGTGTTCTGTGTGCAAGAATGTGGGCTGGCCACACCCACTGCTATCAAGTGGCCCCTGGAAGGTTAGCCAAGGGTGAATGAGGCCCTTATGAAATAATAAATTTGTTGGCCTTTAAACTGCAATAAGACTTTCTTGTTAAAGTTGCTATCTAGTGGCATATAGGCTTAATACAACTACCGCCTCTCTTTTTTGAAAAATGAAAGTATTCAAGTATACTTAAAAAACAATTTTTTATTTGAACCAAAACATTGTATTTCTACAATATTTAGACCAATCTCCATGTTATAAAGCTTGAATTAAACCTTCTCTAATAAAGAATCATGAAGGAAAATTGTGTTAACATGTTATAAGGAGATACCACCACTGCTTTGTAAACTGCTGTGAGGATTTTTTCGTTTTTACATACAAGTGGCATATATATTTTATAAAATAAATAAAACTATAAAATGTGATGGTGACAACCTGGTTTACTTTGACTTTAAAACTAGCACATAGCTCCCTACCATAGGATTACCATAACTTATAGTTGCAAGTTGAATTTTCCAAACCCTACGTTCCTTTTCATAGAACTTACTTCTTCTCTAGAATACCATCTAGTGTCCATTAAGAAAATAGACAATGGAATTCCCAAGAGGTACACATGAGCACTCAGGAAGCATACTTTAAAATCCCAAGACAAGGCAAGTCCTAGTTGAATACTACTTACTTGGAACGAAGATACAAAGGACATCCAGAAATAACAAACGTAAGCAGCCAACATGCACATCATGGCAAAAGTCATGTCAGGAACTTTGTGCATATAATATTCAAAGACATGAAAATTTCACACACGTTGCTTTGTTGTTCAATATAGCAACAATGATACTCTGCAAATTTGTAGGACCGATACCTGACTGGCATTTGGCTACTAGAATTGTTTTATTATATGTTTTAATGTTATTAATGTCATCATTTCAATGTTTATATATTTGTTTTAGCTATTTATTCTTTAGAGGCACCAAAGGCTAATTGATGTTGACATCCAGACCAGATGTTCATCTAATCCAGCATCCTGTTTCCCATGATAGTAAAACAGATGCTTCAAGGTCTGCCAGCAGGGAATTAAGGCAGCAGCCCCTACATGCTTTTGTCTCAAGCAACTAGTCCACAGTGGCATACTGCCTCTGAACACGGGAGATGTTATTTAGGTATTGGTCATTGATAGCGCTGGAATTTGTCCAATTCCAATTTTAATCACAATATGAAACCATGCAAAATATGGAGCATTTTTAGGTCTTAGTGACTGAATGGGTCTGTCTTTTAAGGGCACAGAAGTGTATGGAGGAAGGGGAAGAAAACAGAACCAAGCACGAGGCTGACATGCGATTCTCCAGATGTTGCTTAACTATAACTCTTATCAGCCAGCATGGTGCAATAACTGGAAGGTTAAAAGTTAGGCATCCCTGATTGAAAGATACATTGCTTGTGCCCCTCAATATATTACAAGCATTATAAATAATTCCACATTTCAGTGGGCCTCAGAGCCTATGGTATACTAATTCTGAAGACAGTAATTCTACTTTAAGTGGAAGCTTGCAGCAGCAACCAGTTTCTAGACAGCCAGCCAATTGCTGGATATGGCTGTCACACACAGAGCCATAATAAATTTTAATACTGAAATATCTCAGATAAAGTTTAATGTCAAATTCACCTTCACAAACGCTTCTCTGAAGAATTACAAAAATAGGTAGCTCTAACAAATTCACACGTATGGAGAGTGATTTTTAATATCTAGAGCACACTGCAACAAAGAAACTATCATTCATAAAGAAAACCAATATTTGATTCTTATTTGCTTACCTGCTAATGGCCTGTTCCTCATCTGTTATGCCAGTCTCCCTGAATGCCCTGTTTGATTCCTCCAAACTGAGAGCAATTGCTCTCTGAAGATCATCTTTATCATCTCCTGTGAGATCAATCACATCTGAAATGCAAAACTGCATTTCTCAAAATTAAAAATGCAACAGAATGAAAAGCATCAATTTATCTCGTGCTAGTTTCAGAACAATGGTACAGGCTTGGGGGAATTTGGGTTTAATGTCCCTGACAATCCAAGCCATGATCTCCACAAGGAAAACCAGTACACAGTGGAAGAAAGGAAAAGGGGGGGGGGGGACCAGAGGAGGAGCATGTGGCCACAACTTCATAAACTATGGCTTGTGAAACTTCAAATGATTATCCAATACAACCAATACAACCATTAAAATAGTATTTCCGACATGTACCGCATTTACGCACCCGACCATAAGATGCACCTAGTTTTAGAGGAGAACAAGAAAAAAAATATTCTCTGCCTCTCTGTGCAGCGCCCCTTCAGCGAAGCGTCAGGAGAAGCGGAGCCCCTTCCATTTCTCCTCCCGCTTCACTGAAAGGGCGCTGCGCAGAGAGGGAAAGCTGCACAGCACCTCTCCAGCGAAGTGAAGCCAGGAGAGCAAGAGGGATCGGTGCGCACCGATCCCTCTTGCTCTCCTGGCTTCAGCGAAAGCAACGTGAAGCCTCTGGAGGCTTCGCGTTGCTTTTGCTGAAGCACTGGAGCCTGCATTCGCTCCATAAGACGCACACACATTTCCCCTTACTTTTTAGGAGGGAAAAGTGTGTCTTATAGAGCGAAAAATATGGTATATAAAAAAAATCTAGCCAGGTAATCAGTCCAATTTGGGCTGCAGCTCAGCTTATTACATGAAACTCATTTCAAACTACCAGGCTTGTTCAGAACCTAGTAACTATAGATTTATAGTTTGGATATAATGGGAAACTTTAGCTTATTATCCTATAAACTCTTTAGCTGCAGTACTCAAGGAAGGAAGGGGACGGTACCAGGATGTAATGTGCAGGTGCAAAGCTCATGCATATCTTGGTCTAATAAGTTGGGATATGCATGTATGACCAGATCATATTATACAGTGGTCAGTAAAGGTCAAGGTAGTTAACATAGGAAAGCCAGTCATCTGCAGGTTCTGGTGATCTGAACAGTGTCATGCCACGAAACTGCTCAAAAAGTATGTGCTATTGGTTAGGTTGCTAAAAAAAACTAGATGCTGCAGACCATAAGCTTTCCACACAGAATGCTTCATGTATTTAGAGATGGAAAACAAGGTAGCTTTAAGCAGCTGCCATCACACTGTTTGGAGCTTGTCTGATTCTCTCCTAGGTGTGTTCCAAGGAAATAAGTCTTTCATTTCCTTTATTTTAACAAGAACGCTATCATTACAAATCAGACAACACTATCTATTGTTAAGCATTGAGAAACTTCAAAATGTGCCAAGGACAAACCCTATTGGCCTTCCCAAAGCTTATACACTTTTCCCTTTCCTTGTTCCTGAACAGCCAGTTTTTCTGCCAACTAGTAGGAAAAGAAGCATCCAGAGTTCTCATACCTGTCACAATCATGACAGAACACATAAATGAAATGCAAGTCTAGATTAACAAAAGGGTTGGGTGTAATGCTTAGAAATCTATAGTGTGAGGTGCTTCAAGTTTACTTAGCATTAAATATGAATGTTACAGGTCAGGCTTATTTACTGTTACGCTAGTCTTACTCAACACTACATACTTTTGTTAATCATAGAATATATTAACTTTTAATTTCAAATCTATGCACTGTTATTTGGCCAAATTGTGAGTTTTCTGGGATTCTGTAACACTTCTCAAGTTAAATGTGCTTGCACTGGGACATATGGATTCCAAACACAAATAGTTATCACATGGCTTTTTTGATATGGATTGATATTTTACTGTTAAGCTTCACTAATCAGAGTATTATTTTCTTGCTTCATATTTTGAAGTAATTACCAATTTGGAGGAATTTCTAAAAGTACGCAGATGGAGGTATAGATAGCAATTTTCCAGGGCAGTAAAATCGCAATTACCAGATATTATTGTTGTTTTTCAGACACAAATGGTGAAAGCTAAGTGCACTAGATGGACCCTCGTGGTTTCCCTTTCATTTTCTGTTATATTACTATATTATTGTGTTTTCAATAAAGACAAACTTCTTGAAAAATAAATCACTTTAACCAAAACCTCCAAGATCTATAGGCATAAAGGAATCACTTTATATAAAATATCAGACTGGAGTGACAACAAGGTCTTCTGACCAAGCATTTAGTTTGGTTGGTACTTCAGTAACGCAGAAAAAAACCACTTACTTGTATCTGCTTGGCTGCCTACACTGATGTATCTGTCATTGCCAGAAAGTGCTGTTTGATAGTACGTTGTCTCTTCCTGCTGAGGAATCTTAGCATTCTTTGCAGTAAGGAAAGCAACAGCTAACTCCAAATTCCCATTGCTATCCTTTAAATGTAACAGAATAAACATATTGGTATGCCATCTTATAACCAACCAATTAGGGCAGAGCCAGCTTCCAAGACTAACTCGAATTACTTTACACCTGCACACAATGCATACAATTTCATGATTAGAAACTTACCATAAAATTATTTACATGTAAATTAAGTCGCGCTAAAGAAGGTGATAGATTTGTGTACAGTCCCACTAGTTTCAGCAAAAGAACTCTCTACGACTGGAAAACCAACAGAAATTAAAAGTGCTTGACTTCTTGTTGGATGATACTCAGAGTGTTTAGTTCCTTGGCTAAGCTGATTCAAAGAAGAATTTAAAATAAAAAAATTGTTGAAATAAGCAATCATTTAAGCAGAGTAGAAAAATTCTAGTCATCCAATGACGTCTGATGCAGGTGCCTAAGAATGTTGACACACACCCACGTCTTCCAACAAACCAGTTGCTTAAAATTTATTCTGATGACTTGGAATTAAAAATATTTTGCCAGCCCCGAGGATAATTTGATAACACTAAGGCAAAAGCTCAAAGCATACATGCCATACTACAAGCATTTGGTGAACTAGCAGAACCAAAAGTCCGACAAAATTGCTATTTCTGAAAGAAGCCCATACTTTCTTTTACATATTTGGCTTACAATATTTTGAGATGAATCCACTTTTCTGTTATATACATTCTCAAGTAGCAAATCTAAGAGTAAAACAGCTTACAATTGATAAAAGCTGAACAGAACAGAGAAAGCTGGTAAGATTTTGTGTCCATCTATGTGGTCCTGAGACACGCCTTTTTCCTGATCTAAAGTTCAGTAGAGACTGTAATAAAATATACTTTTCCCAACTGAACAGCAAGAGACGGCAAGGTCTTGTGCAGGTTGAACCTTAACCAAAGAGATCTTTTCTTGCTTGCATTGTGCACTGGGAAACCGGCAACATGGAGTCAAAGGTCAGCATCTCAGACAGATGTCAGAAAGGTTTTCAGCATGGTATGCTCCACATACACAGTATTTCTTAGATAAAGTATTTTACTGGCATGTTTTCATCAGCAGCATTATTTACAAAAACCATTTCGGAAGGCCCTTATACTTCCTAGTCCCCAGGGTATGGGGTCTGATGGCACAAAAGGCCACCACCTTGCTGAAACTAAGGCAGTCTAAATCTGGTGAATGCCTATATGTCTAGTACATATAGGCATTCACCAGATGAAAAGAAAAAAAAAAACAAAGATACAAAAGGAAGGTGTTTTTTAAACCAGCCTTTGCCATACTTTACGTTATCTGAATTCCTCACTTAAATCATTTTAAAGTAATCCTATTAAAAACTTTCTGTCCATCAGAAGGAACCTTATTTAGATGCAGACAGATATAAACACAGAATCATCTTTGAAAACCACCATACCTTCAAGGCTTGCTGCAGTACTTGGGTGTCATTGATGCCAGTGATCTCTCTTAGCTGATTCAGAAACGTCTGCTGGTGCTGAAAAATGAAAAAGCTGGTCAAACACCAAAGACAAATTATGGCAACAAAACCCTTTCAGCTTGTGGAAAGAGAAGATTTGTAGTGATATTTTTATTTGTCTTTGAAACCATGTATTACGGGAGAGCCTGGAGAAAACGTATTTGCTTAAGATGAAAGAAAATACTTCTGTGAGAGCTAAAGAATTTGGGGACAGAAAAGGGTTCAATTTAATCTTCCCATGTCATTATACCATATTAGAAAGTGAGCCTTCAAAGCATAAAATAGTGTCCTAGATACAAAAATACCGCACAGTGTACTACTGTGAAAGCATGGGCTAAGCCCATAAAGACAATCATTGTTATCTCGGGATCTCAATATTTTAAATACTGCAATACAGAATACTCTTATTTAAGTATCACTGCCCATAAATATATAACGTATAGAGTCTAGCTGAGAAATAGCTAATATGGTGCTTTCCAAGCGCTGTTCAACTGCAGCTCCCAACATTCCTCGACCCTGGCTATTTGTCATGCTGGCTGATAGGAATGAGGAGTCAAACAGCATCTTGGGAGTGGGGATGGTTGGTACCCCCAGTCTAACTATGTATGTCAAGTATGTCATGTATTTTAATATCACAGGCAACCATCTAAAAATGAACTGATGTTGTCAAGTAACTAGGAAGTCTCATGAAACAGCCCTGGAAACTGATTGTAAAAACAAGCAAGCAAGCAAACAAATAGGAGCTTTAATTTTGGTTCATATATTTCAAATTCAAACATGACATAAGACAGTAAATAAAATAATATCAAATTGTATTGGCATATTCCTTGCAAGAAAAAGAAAAACTATCCATAGAAGGTTAAAAGTAAAGGGACCCCTGACAGTTAAGTCTAGTCGCGAACGACTCTGGGGTTGCGGCGGTTATTCAAGACTATATACCACCTTTCCACCATAAAAGCAATGTTCAGGATGGCTCACATTAAAAAGAACCCCACACTTAAAAGTTGTGAAGCACAGTGCCCTTTAGCTTCACAGAATGCATAAACAGTGGCACTGAGCATGATGAACTGATCAAATGGCAATACACAGGTACTGATAAAAAAATACCTTTGAAAAATGTTGCATTAATAAAATACAAGCTGCAAGTTGTAAAACAGTGATGTGGACAGTATAGAAGTACCAACACACACAATGGCTTTGGACCCTGTTATATGCAATACAAGATTTCCACTATCTATGTGCCTAAAACAGCAACTGCATATACGTCAGCACAAAAGGAAGGCTGATATGGAAACACTGAAAACTGAGTTTTAAAAAAATCTATCCTACTGGCTTTAGTGCCTGCAATTTTATACTGTATTTTAAAACCTCATGTGCTGAACCTGTCAAAAATCACTGCTGATGTCACCAGATAACAAAGCACGAATATGTGTGCAAAATTTATTATAGTTCTTCAGGGAGAGGGCAGTCCCTTACACAAGTACACTTAAGGAATTATATGAAGTACTCAGTCTTAGGCTCTTACCCAAAGCTTATCTGGCCACAGCATAACCAGCAAAGAAGAAGTTCGCTAACATAATAGCAGGGCTTAGCTACAATCTAAGTCCAGATCCCAAGAGTTGCTTCAGGTCACACAACGGATTGCAGACAAGCAAGTGGGATTTTTAGGTTTTTTCATTTAGTAGAAATCCCATCAATCTCAAAAGCAGTTTTCCTCTGCAGGAAAGGGGGCTGCTGTTAAAAATAAAAGTAAAATAAAAAGCTTACTGTCTCCTTGGGCTCAGAGAAGCAGTTGCAGGACTCTGTGGAACCTGACTTAAGTGCTTAGATAAGGTAATGCTTAAAACCTACTGCCATGCTACTAGCATGGCTGCTGACCATACAAACTTAGAATCTGACAGCTACCTTCTCCAGTTCACACATTTTGCAGGGGGAGAGGTTTGAGAGTTATGGTGGCAATGTGTGCATGTATTATAAACAAACAAGCCTTTTATCTTTTACGAAGAATTGTCCTTTTGCCTGACCTTATTTTGTACTAATGTTTGGGAAATGAGCAGTGTTATCATTATGGAATCAGAAACAAAGGCATACATTAAAAGCCCTCAAAGTGTCGTTGTGATGTCTTGTTTATGCGCTTCATGTCACAGTTACTTCTGTTTGCTGTGTACGTAACTGCTTCCTGTGCCTTGTTTAAATTATTAGTTCCTCAGGAACTAATTGTTAGTAAAGAATTTCCCAGCATCCAGGCTTGAATAAACAAAGTTATGAAGTACCTGGCATGAACTCTACAGCTTCCCCAATTTTACGGCTTTACATCTAGCTTACAGATTTACATTTCCCCTCATCAAGCCTTAGCATACAATGGAAATCCAATTTCTCACTTTTTAACATAATATATTAAAGGGTGCACTTTATGCAAAGGCGATACTAATCAGCATCTGAACTGATAAATAAAAAAAGCCAGGTAAAGTGCCAACACAGCATGAGGGTGCCCTATGGCGTTTACTTTTCCAAGCTAATTCCCATTCTGCACTTTCGGCTGCCAAAACCCCAGACTGTGGATGTCAACTGTGTTAAGTGGACATTTATCCCTTCAGAACTGGAGAATCACCAATGTTCCCACATAGGCTGCCAAAAGAGAGTCATTAGATGCTAACTATTTTCATTTGGACGCAGCATGAAGCAGGGTCAGAGAAGTGACAGAAAACATTACAATATGTTCAGGCTCTGAAAACAGAGAGAACACCAGCTTCTGGGGAATAGCAGAAGAGTGCAACTGTGCTCATGTCCTGCTGTAGGCTCCTGGCTGAGCACTGTGAGAAACAGGATGTTGCACTCTATAGGCTTTTAGTTTGTTGCAGCATGGCTCTTAACATGCTTTTTTATTTAAATGTATATACATTTTCTTGGATTAAACAAACATCATTTTTTATTATTAATGACAATATAAGCTTTCACGGGTACATAAAATTCATTATTGCAACTATTACGCCATGATTTAAAGTATATCAGCACAAATCTTTTCGGCTACTTTTTAAATATCTGGTTAGCAATTTGCTATTTTCTTCTTGTTGAGATTATAGGAATTATAACAATTTCTACAGTAATGACTATACAACATGTCAATCTAAATACAATTCCTGTCCCAACATGCAAACATGCAGAAATACTACGTGAAACACAAAGCTCCCAAGATATGGGGCTTTACATGAATTGCTTAAGCACCTGTGAGCACTTAGAAAAGAATGCTGTGATTACTAAGATCCAGCATGGGTTTCTCAAAAACAAGTCATGCCAGACAAATCTTATTTCTTTTTTCATACAGTTACAAACTTGGTGGATCAGACAAATTCACTATGGATGCTAGTCAAGTATACTATTACAGGCAGTGACGTGCGGCTGCTGACATGCAGGTCCTTTTGGACCCAAAAGAACGGGGCCAAAATGGATAGCAGAATGGGGTCAGGGCAGGGCCATAATGGGGTGGCATGGGCTTTCATGCACCCCACCAACGCATGCGGGGGTCAGGAACTGTTGCCTGCACTGTTAAATTTGAACCAAATCATAAACTTTATCTATAAAAACCAATTTCCCATGCACTCTGAACATGTGTACTTAGTTTGTGAATTAGTAAACATGGTTTTATATGTAGCTTTTAATATATATAATTTAAACTGTACTGGCATGTAAAATGTGAAGAATTGTTGGTATTCTTTGTTATATAAGAAGCCCTTTTGAACCGTAGTATATAGAATATTCTCAGCTCACTGACAAACACCTTTTGTTTATCTCTTGTTAACCAAAACAGAGTTTAATTGCTTCAATCACCTCATTAAACTAATCTTGGTGAATCCAATTTTCAATGTCCATACACCTCCAAAAGCCACCATAAGAGTCAAATGGAATACAGCTATCAGCAGTTTTTTTGCATGGGCAAAATGACCTCAAGCTACAGTTATCTTACTATAATGGAAAAGTGTGCAGTGTAGTGGCAAAACACGTATCCAACACACAATGATTTGAAAGAAGCCATCCACATATTCCTCCACTTGCCAATGAAAGGGAGTTGCAGTTCCTTATTATTCAAGACCCAAAACAGTAATGAAATATGTGGCTGCTAGGACAGCCTTTAAATCTATGGACCTGTTTTTTCAATTATTTGTTACATTTATATTCCACTTTTCCTCCAAAGACCTCACGGTGGTATACATGGTTCTCCCCTCTGAAATTTTATCCTCACAACAGCCCTGTGAGGTAGGTTAGGCCGAGAGGCAGAGCTTGGCCCAAAGTCACCCTGTAAGCTTCATGTCTGTTGTCTCCCAGGTCCTTGTCCAACACTCTAACCATGCTGGCTCTCTACCTGTAGATATGTCTTTAGCAGCTCACCGTACTGGAAGGCAAGACTATCATTTACATGTTGCGCATTTGTAATTCCATGCTTCTGGTCAGTTCCACATGTGTAAACAAATACAAAAAAAAAGGAAGCATCTTGTCATTTTGTTCTCCTTTTCTTGTTCTTTACACATGTAAACAGGCAAGGGTAACCTCACGCCTTGATCACGTCAAAGTACACACCAAAATGCAGGAAGTGTGCAGATGGGGAGGCAATCCCTTCTCAGCATATAACGACCCAACACAAGTGATACAGAATACTGATCCTACATTAATCAAAATTAACTTCTTGAAAGCAAGAGACCAGTTCAGGGTGGGCTGCAGATTTTAAACTGGTTACAAATGGAACATTTCTATTAACAAACCTAATGTTTTAATATACAAAGCAGGGTGATTTAATTCAAGACCTGTGCTCAACTGATCTTTGATTCCCCAGATTCCAAAATATTTGCGCATTTAGAGATGGATTTATTTTTTAAAACACTTTTAGTAAGAATGTTTTTCTGGAGCTGTGTGACTAATAACCCTTTACAACGAACAACAAAGAAATGCACAACTGTGAGATAAAGAGCAAGCCGTGTGTGTGTGTGTGTGTGAGAGAGAGAGAGAGAGAGAGAGAGAGAGAGAGGCCCATTCACATTTTATTTCACTTTGCTCACCAACACTGCAGGGCTATTTTAGATTATGCAGAATAAATAATGTAATGTATCTTGAAAATCTACAATATGTACTACACCAAGGCTGTGTGGGATGCTGAGACAACTTTTCCATTACAGTACAATAACTATAGTTTATTTATTATGGAGAGTGGAAGAACAAACAATAGGCATTTGCGGGGGGGGGGGGGATTAAACATGATTTTTTAAACCATGTATTCACCAAACGGATTTAAAATGTCACCCCACCACCAGCGCCACTTACCCTGCTAGGTTTGGACAATGGAACAAGCCAGACTAGGCTTGTTTTACTTGTGGTACGACAGCGGTAGAAGTGGAGGAGGAACAGTACAGGAACATGTCAAAGTGCAAGTAGATAAATAGGTACCGCTCCGGCGGGAAGGTAAACGGTGTTTCCATGCACTGCTCTGGTTCACCAGAAGTGGCTTAGTCATGCTGGCCACATGACCCGGAAGCTGTACGCCGGCTCCCTTGGCCAATAAAGCGAGATGAGCGCTGCAACCCCAGAGTCGGTCACGACTGGACCTAATGGTCAGGGGTCCCTTTACCTTTATTCTCCAGCAAAAGTAGCAATAATGTAGAAAACAGCAAATAAACCTTTTCAAGTTTATAAATACTCTCATGTACAAATAAAAGACCTCTATAAAAAGACACATTCATGCAGATACTGTGAAATTAGACGGTGATCAAAGATAGTTCCCTATTACTGATCTGTCTACAAAGATCACAATCGCAATTAGTAACAGTTTCACATCAGGAAGGTTTAAAAGAAACAGTGAACACTATCAAATGGACTGCCACACTACCACCTCCTCCTCCATACAACTAGTGAAAACTGTCCATTTTAGAAAGAGAAGACTTCTATGAGTCTTTCATAAACACAAATGTGACTAATGCGAGACATATTATAAGCATACTTTGCAGGGGGAGCCTGATGATCCGCTAGTACAATTAGGTAAAAGAAAGTATGTCAAGGCCCAACAGTGGAAAAAGATTCCTAATCAAACATCAAACTTACTTTTAAGAGAAAGCTGGGAAGATATCAGGTGAGAAAGAGAAAAAGTACTGCTGCCAGCGTATCAGCAGCCTGCTCAGGGTGGGAGATGGGGGGGAAGGGGTCTTCACCACTCAATCTCACTATTAGAAGGAATAAGTGGAAACTGCAAATGTTGTTACATATCTTCCTACTTCCAAACAGGAGTAGGTTCCAGCCAGCCAGCCCTGCTCCCCCTTCCAGAATGCTATTGAACTGTAATGGATGGAAGCAGTGTACCTTACTCCCTACCCCACATTTCTTTTCCACCTGACAATAGTGCATGACTCTTTGAGGCCACTAAACTCATGTTCAATACCCACTGGCCTGTTCTGTGCCGCCTCCTTTTTAAATGTGTGTACAACTGCAAATCTTACGGTTCCCCTGAGCATATAATTATTTCCCTGTTGTTCCTCAATGTTACAGTTTTGGCTCAGCACTCACCACTTTGGTTTGTTACTAGAGGAAGTGACCATGATGATGATGATGATGATGATAATGACATCCTAGTGAATCATATTTTGATGTACAGGCAAGACAGAAGAGCTGTGGTTCTACCTCTGTGACCTCTCTAAAAGCGTAGAAACAAGCTGGCAGAATATGGCTTGTGTAGCTCCAGAGGTTCCACAGGTTTAGAGGGGGAAAGAGCAGAACTGAATGACTTTCAAGTTCAGAAATGCCAAACATTTATTTTATCCCAAGTTAGTTTATTTAAAGATTAAAGAGAGACTGAGCCATAAATAATTTGCTTACAGAACTATGTGGTTAAAGAAATGATGGAAAGCTGCAACATCCAAGGCAAAGGCTTTTGCCCTGGCTGTCCTGGGCTTCTTCTACTAATATAACACAACCATGTGTAGAATGCTGGCAGGGACCGTGAGACTACAAAAGAGATGCTGAAAGAGGAGAAACCAAACCCCAGTATACTGGGGTTCCCAGTACAGTGGTACCTCGGGTTAAGAACCTAATTCATTCTGGAGGTCTGTTCTTAACCTGAACTGTTCTTAACCTGAATCACCACTTTAGCTAATGGGGCTTTCTGCTGTTGCCGCGCTGCCGGAGCATGATTTCTGTTCTCATCCTGAAGCAAAGTTCTTAACCTGAGGTAATATTTCTGGGTTAGCAGAGTCTGTAACCTGAAGCATATGTAACCTGAAGCGTATGTAACCCGAGGTACCACTGTATACTGTCAAAGGGGAAATAATTTTGAAACTCATACTTGAATGAAGCCAAAACATTTCATTTCTGACTATTGCACTCTGCTCTGTTGGACTCCAGAATAAATATATTTTATAGTTAGTACATTAAACTTACATTGTAAGTTCAATGTTTTCTCCACTGAGATTGAAGAACCAGCAGATATTTTAAAACCCCACTTCTGGAGCAAGAGGCATTGCATTTCCACACTTCTCTTGCCCCTCAGGATAAGTTTCCATAAATTGTCATTATTCATGAGCATCTCTTCTCCAAGCAAACAGAAAAATTCATTGAAAAACAAACATCTCACGGGTTTGTAATGCCTCTTGCTCAGTGATACTAGAATCTAAAATGCAATCTCTGCTAGAGAACAATTAAATTATATGCATGAGTGTATTTAGCTTTCATGAACTGTGTATACTAGATTTAGACTGTAGTGGTTTCCCTGCTTCACAGTAACACAAAAACAAATGAACTACTGGCACCAAGAAGGGCCCATGTTCACAGCTGTCCTAGTTCACAAACCTGCTGAAATGCACTACACACACACAGCTTGAAAAGGGTGGCAAAATTGGAATGCCCTTTGAGACTCAAGGCTTAGTAAAATGCTGAAGATGTGAAGAAAGCTGGAGTTAAGGCAGGAAATTGTAGGGAAGGGTTCCCATTAGGCATGCCCTCTTCTCTGCAATCAATGAGCTACCAAAAAAAAAAAAAAAAAAAAAAAAGCTTAAAGGAGCCACAGCAACAGATTTTACATCAGAGCAAAGTCCCTTCAGTTCTTTCAACTACTGTTCAAAGAAAAATAGAATGTATGCTCACCTCTCTTTGGAAAATTTCAATAATTTATCCCTAATTCTGAATGAGTTTAGTATAAAGATGGTTAGTACATAATTACAGCAGCCCACTTCCATTATACAAATATACTAGTTCACTATATATTTTACCAAATTACCACTTTATGCAGGACTTAGAATCATAGGATTGTAGAGTCAAAGGAACCAAGAGGGTCATCCAGTCCAAACCTCTGTAATGCATGAATCTTTTTGCCTAACGTGGGGCTCAAACCCACAGCCCTGAGGTTAAGAGTCTCATGCTCTACCAACTGAGCTATTAGAAAATATATTTAGCACATTTTAATCATGCTTCTTCTGACTGCTGCTTGTGTGTTCTTAACTGGCCACAGATTGTGTTTTATTCACCTCTTGGTACTTGCAATTGAAAAGAAGAGATGGCAGCTATAAGGAAAATCATTGTGTTATGATACAAAATCAATTCAGATATAACAAAAAACGAAGTTTCAAAAATGACAATTGTTTGGTACTTTATATAATACAATTTTTAAATCCTTCATATGTCAAAACATTTCACTTGTTCAACAATATTCTACCAGCTGTGTATACCAGGACATGTACTTAAAAAGACCAGTAATTATAGCAAGAATTAAAGCCACTAAGTATACGTTAAAGAAGTGTGTCATAGTTCTTAAGTACCAATTAGGTGTACATATCTCTATGAATGAAAAAATGAAACATACACAAAATAGATGCACCTAACATTATATAGATCTGTTGAAAATGTGTTTTCAGTGACAACTGCCTTTGCTGTAGCAAGGAAAGAGACTGGAAGTCTGGAAAAGAGCAGACTTCTCTACCTCCAGCACCTGAAGCCAGCTGCTCACATGGAACTCAAGTGCAGCCAATGGAATTTCTTGTGTACAAAAGCCAAACCTAGCAATCCATACATTCCTCAATAGGACATCCTGCATGTGTGATTTCTGGTAAGAATGAAGTGCAAACTGTCCTTAAGTGACCTATGCAGCAAAAAACCAGAGAGATAACATTTCATACATTTTTCTAATACCCTTGACCGTAGTTGAGTGCAGAAAGTGACATTTTAAAACCCTAAACATATCAAATAACAAACTATTTTACACCAATATCCTACCACTAATGTAGTATTTCACTCTAGCTGTTTATGCTACTTAGTTCTACTTCCACCAGTGTTACACACACTAAGAGTCTCCATATATTTTAATGGGTCAAAGTACCAGCAAGAAGATACTCCTCAGTATGTTTCTAGGTGCTACCACAAAACACATGTATAGGGAAAGAAAAAACATAAGCCTAATGTTCAAAGCTTTCACCATATCATGACCAGTTGGAACAAAAACAGCTCATGCCCAGGGGATTTGCAGTTTTCCTATGAGAAAACTTTATATGGAATGTTTTGCATGCTAAGTTCAGTACGCACACAGCATTTTTCTATGTTTTGCCCCAATTATAGAGTTAGAAGATCACTTGGTCTGCAGTTCTATTGAATCCCGGCTTCAATAGGACATACTTCTGACTAGAAATGGCTAGGATTGCATATCATCAAGCCCTGAAGAATTTCTGTACTACAGACTTACAGAACAAAGCTGCTTCTTCAAATCTGTAGTACAGAAACTCTTCAGGAACTAGTGATATGCTAAGGGGTCTTCTGCTTGAATAGCTGGGACAAAACTTACTATTTGCATCAAGCATTCCATACAAAATTGTTGCATAGGAACTGCAAATCCCATGGGGACAACTATATTAGTGAGATGCTTTTGTTTATGCTTGTGTTATAGACATAGGAAAGGCCTATCCTTTTAAATTGTCACTGTCATGGTAACAACACCCATCATCTAATAATCTACTATTTAATGTAAATTGCAGGCAACAAGTATTTTTTTAGGAAAAGATATACTGACAGCTACTAGTAGTAATACATATCTGACAACATTCTTTTGTGGGAGTTCACTATGGGAAAGAATTAGTCAAGCCGGAAGGGCATGGTTCCCAAGCAGTATATGTTTATATTCTCACACTAAAGGCAGACACTTAAAAACAGGCAAAACTAACATGAGAAACTATAATTGGAAATTGCAGAGCTCTGCTTTGTTCTAGTAATAGGAACTTTTACTCTCAGAATAAACACAAGAATACAGAACATATCCTGCTTACCCAATATTAATTTAGATCATTTCACTTTATCTTTCTTATTTCAACACATACGGGTTATTTATCCCATCTATCCCAAGAGGCATATTTAAAGGTTCATTCAGCAACACAAGCACAAATATTATTTTCACATAGAAGAAGAAGAAGAAGAGTTTGGATTTGATATCCCACCTTTCACTCCCTTTAAGGAGTCTCAAAGCGGCTAACATTCTCCTTTCCCTTCCTCCCCCACAACAGACACTCTGTGAGGTGAGTGGGGCTGAGAGACTTCAAAGAAGTGTGACTGGCCCAAGGTCACCCAGCAGCTGCATGTGGAGGAGCGGAGACGCGAACCCAGTTCCCCAGATTACGAGACTACCGCTCTTAACCACTACACCACACTAGGAAACTGAGTTATATTGAGCTGGATTATTGGTCTATCTAGCTCAAAATTGTCTACACTGATGGAGTTCTCTCTTAAACCTGCCCTACCTGGATATGCTGGGGTTTCAACCTGGGACCTTCTGCACGCAAAGTAGACGCTCTTCCACTGAGCTACAGCCCTTCCCAAAATTACAGACTCTTTAGAGAACTCATTGGAGCTGTTTGGAACCAAAGAGAAACACCACTATGGGGTACCAAGCAGTTGTTTGCTGTTAAATGAACCCAGCTGTTTCAAACATCCCTGTAAAAACAGTTATAAACCAACAGCTTCTGGTCCTTTGGACTTTGAATTGGGCAATGACAGGGGTTCAGCCAAATTCTTGAATTGATTTGCATCCACAAGCACATTAATTTGCATAGTGTACTCTGCATTGGAAAATTCAGTTTGCATCAGGAAAAATTCTAATGTCCCAGATCAGCCTTTGTCAAATAAGCGCCTTCCAGACATTTTGGATTGCAGCTTTCATTAATCCCATTTCTACCAGCCCACTTTGTTTCCATACCTTCTGAATTAAAGAGAAAAGTCTCTTCCTTCACAATCAGCACTGAAATGCTCTATTCCTCCTCCACCAATCTACTTCACAGGTGGCATTTTTTCTTCTAGCAAAGGAGGGCACTTTGCCTCTTAAATGGTCAATACCAGGGGTCAGCAAACTTTTTCAGCAGGGGGCCAATCCACTGTCCCTCAGACCTTGTGGGGGGCCGGACTATATTTTGGAGGGGGAAAAAATGAAAGAATTCCTATGCTCCACAAATAACCCAGAGATGCGTTTTAAATAAAAGCACACATTCTGCTCATGTAAAAACACCAGGAAGGCCCCACAAATAACCCAGAGATGCATTTTAAATAAAAGGACACATTCTACTAATGTAAAAACACGTTGATTCCCGAACTGTCCGCAGGCCAGATTTAGAAGGCGACTGGGCCTTATCCGGCCCCCGGGCCTTAGTTTGCCTACCCATGGTCAATACGGAAATGCAGATTACTAGTCTCTTAGAAAGCTAGTAAGACTAGTAACTTTTGTGGGCTTATTTACAAAGCTGGGTAGGATGTATGTTTAAACAGAAACAGCTGTCACACTTTCTATTCAGTGCATCTGGGATACAACTACTCATGACTTTGGTTTTAGCATGAATGCAAAGAGCGCAAAGATGAAAAGCAGTTGTCAAATCCTCACTGAAGTACAGAGTATCAACAGCACAGAAGTACTCTGTTGAAGTTACTCAAGGAGTAGATTTCTACTGTTATTAAAGCATGTTAAGAACACACAGGTACTGCTTACTTTAAATCTTGTATTTTATGAGACATTTTTGAAGGAGTTAGAAGCAGATATAAAAGGATGCAAAATGCAAAAGAAATGAGCAGGCAAATGGAAAGAGGTAAATGTGGAAACAGAAGTGAGTTGTTATTTTTTTAACACATACTTGTTCAATGGAACTGTAGAAGAATGTATAGCATCTTTGCAAGCCTTTATGGCTATGCAATTGGAATGCCCCTCTTCATTTCACATGAGTCAAAAACAAAAAGCACAATTTTTTAGTGGCCACACACCTCTCAAATTGATAAGTTATAAACATACTATATAAAAAAATGACCATATTTAACTTATAGGGACGTGGGTGGCACTGTGGTCCAAACCACTGAGCCTCCTTGCCTTGCTGATCAGAAGGTCGGCAGTTCGAATCTGTGCAACGGGGTGAGCCCCCATTGCTCTGTCCCAACTTCTGCCAACCTAGCAATTCGAAAGCATACCAGTGCAAGATACCGCTGCGGCAGGAACATAAACGGTGTTTCCGTGCGCTCTGGCTTCTTGCACCAGAAGCAGTCTAGTCATGCTGGCCACATGATCTGGAAAGTTGTCTGTGGACAAACGTTGGCTCCCTCGGCCTGAAAGAGAGATGAGCACAGCAACCCCATAGTAGTCTTTGATGGGACTTAACTGTCCAGGGGTCATTTATCTATTTTTTACCTATTTAACTTATAGGCATCTGTGCTTGAAACAAGTCTATAAAAAAGACTTGTTCAAAAATGTGAATGGTTTCAAATTATCTGAGAGAATATTAGGCTTAGACCAGGGTTTCAAATCTTTGCTAAGCCTTGAAGCTCATTGGATAACCTTGGATGAGGCAGTATCTCTCAGTTAACCTACCACACAAGGATTTTGGAAAGACAAAACGAAAGTAAAAAAGAGCAGATGAAGGCCATGTATAACAGCCTTCTTTGGAGTAGGATTATTTACACATTCCAACAGATTATGTACTTCACATAAATTCAAGGATACCAGTCTTACTCTATTTATATCGAAAGGTTCAAAGTGTTATAGAAAGGACAACTTTCCTTTGGACAAAGTACCATGAACCTTCTCCAGAATTAGATCATTTGGGTCCTATATCCCATGAAATAGCAAGCCAAATCTCCAAAGGAAATACATAACCTCAAAAGAAACATATATACAACTCAGAAGCTACTAACATAGGCCACTGTTATTAATAGTTAACAAAACACCTTCAATATAATCTACAAAATTCAAGTAAAGCATTCACACTACCAACCACACTATACTTTTAGCTAACAACCAGATTTCCTGGCTCAGGGCAAAAACAGAAGCAGTAGCATTCTTCACCACTCCTCACGGGATACACATTTACAGACTCATTTCAAAGCTTTACATTAAGTGCATGAAACATAGTTGAAGCAGGAAACCAGCCTGCTTCCTACACCTCTGAGTATGTACTGTATTACAGAACCGGTTGGAAGAGCTGGCATGATCAGAACCGAGATGCGTCTCAGGGCGCCAGAATCGGGGGAGGATGAAAACGTCAATCCCTCTATTTAAAAATAAAGTGGCACTTTTGTGAGAGGAGGGGGGGCAGGGAAGGAAGGGCGAGTTGCGGATCGAAACGCCGGGCTCCTCCTCCGTCCCCCTAATATACCAACCCCCGTGGGCACTTCTCTGGCAAGGTAAGGAGGGAAAAGCAGGGCAAATGCGAGAGGAGGAACACGCTTCCAGGAACTCAAAGCGCGGACGGGGTGGAGAAGTAATACTGACAGAAAGGCAGAGCCGCTTCCAGGAGCTCAGCGGACCCCCCCCCCCCCGATCCCCTTCCCCAGGCCGGGAGGAGCCGCCCAACCGGCTCTAGCCTCTCCCTCGCTAGACGCAAAGGTCACGGAGGGAAGCCGGGAGGGAAGGCGCCGACCCGCCTCGGCTCCCAAAAGCCAGGCCCTCGCGTAGCCCAGCAGCCTGCCCAAGGGCTTCCTGCCTGGGCCTGAACACAGGGTAGCTCTCCCCCATCCCGCGGGCCAGGTCGCCCCTCACCTTCTGCGCGTTGCTCTGCTGCAGCACATTCTGCTCCACGGTCATGGCCCCGGCCCAACTCCGGCTTCCCTCCCCGCCGGCCTGAGGAGGTGCAGCAGCAGCAGCAGCAGGAGACGGCGCTAGCCGAGGGTGGGGAGGGAGCAACGGCAAGGCCGGGCCGGAGTGGACGGGCCGTGGGAGGAGGAGGAGGGAGACGAGGGAGAGGAGCGCGGCGTGGGGAGGCCGCGGCTCGGGATCCACGCAGCCGTGACGCGACGCGCCTGCCCAGGCAAGTGGCAGCCCTGGAGAGGAGCGGGGCGCGCTCAGGCCCGGCGGTGCGCCTGCCGCTTGCTAGGAGTGTACGCGCCGCCGCCGCCGCCTCAACCAAACATGCCCAGCCCAGGAATGTGCTTGGGCTCCTCCCCTTCCCCGCCGCGCCTCCCTCCTCGGCGGCGCAGCCCTGCGCGCTCCCTACTCGGAAGTAAGTCTGGCCGAGTTAGTCCCGGCTAAGCGCGGGCGCGCAGGGCTGCAGCCCGGGCTGCGAGGGGGCAAGTGAGGAAGGGAAGACGCCGCCCAGCTGCCGCCGCTACCGGGGAAAGGCGACTGAACGGGAAGCAGGAACTTCTCCTCTTCCCGCCCTTATCCTGCGGCGGCCGTCCAGCTTGCAAAGCCTCTGGGGATCCCTTTTAGCTCCACGGCGGCCTTCCTTTCGGAACAAGGGTCGGGGAAGAGCACATACCGGCGGCTGGCGGGGCGAGCGGCTAAAGCAGGCCGAGTCATCCCTGCAAGTTTTACCTTGGTGGGGCCGGTTGGCTGCTGCGGACTCCCGCGCCCCTTTCTGTCCTCCAGGCTAGCAAGAAACAATGCGGGAATAATACAAGGATTCTTCTAGCCAGGTGAAGACACTCCAGGAAGTTGTGGAGGTGCAGTAGCCCCCTGGGACTGGGAAAGGTTTGGAAACTTTGCTCATACCAGAAAGCTCTAACGGTCTGGGTACTAGAAGGATTACTAGCTTCCATATGATTCCACCTTCTTCCTGAGAGGGCTTCTGCTTCATATCCTGTTTCTGAGATTAATCTCATGAATAGGTGGGGCAGGGCCTTCTCCACATTGACACCCAGGCTCTTGAATTCATCTCCATGGGAGGTACATTTGTGTCACTTCCTGTTTTCTTTTTGACAGTCAGTCAAAGCTATGGTTTTCTGTAGTGTCTCTTGTGACACTGAGGCTGTTATTTTTGCCTCCTCGTACTGTGGTTTTTGCTGCTATTATACTGCTGATTTTTGATCAGTGGTTTGGCTTTATGGTTTGATGGGTTTAATCATCTTAAATACATTGTACTGTGCATCACTTTGGACCAAAAAGCAGGATAAAAAGAAACTATGCATGATATTCAGTGAAGTTCTGCTCAGGGCACACCTAATGAAATCAATAAACACGTATTACTTGCGCCAACTGATTTGTTTTTTTAATTAATATTTCTGTGCTGCCCCATAACCAAAGGTTATCTTGTCATCTTCCAAAAATATTTAAAATATTATAAACAATTTAAACCATAAAAATACAACATAAAGAGCATCGGACAACTGAGAACTCAATCCCAACAGTGATTATGCTCACAGAGCACAGACAGATCTTAATTACCAGATTTCTGAAATCCTATAAAACCTTTGGAAAACCTTTAAAAAGCGGAGAGAATTAATGTCTTCCCCTACTGCCAGAAAGAATACAAAGTATTCATAGCATGTGAGCCTTTTCAGGAAGGATGTTCTACCATCAGGATACTATCCCTTGTCACACTTATCCCGGCTAAGGCACCCAGAGAAAGCCTCTGACAATGGCATTGGGAAATGGGATGGTGTTTGTGAGTGAAGTGTAGGCTTTAAAGATTAAAAGCAGCATTTTGAATCTGGATTGGAATCCAGCTCACCTGAAACAAAGCTAATGTAATATACTGTAGTGCAGTTAGCTCTGTCTTGGACTAATGGGAGTTCACTGACTGTTTTCAATGGTAGTTCCATATACAATCCTATGTGTATTTACTCAGAAGCAGTCCTGCCTGAGTTCAGCAAGACTTACTCCTAGATAAGTGTGCATGTGGTTGTAGCCTTTGTCTATCCTCTCTCTCAGTCAGTGAATTTGGCATAGAGAATGTTGCAGATTAAGTGAACTACAGTGAGAACCACATGAAAGGCATTAATGGCCCCCTCAAAAGGAGTTTTTCACACTCAGATATCATTAACACATTAATACATTTTAATTTTATTATTATTATTATTATTTGCATTTCTATACCACTCTTCCTTCAAGGATCACAGGGCAGTTTACAAGAACACAAAAATACATACCATAGTAACAAACAAAAACAGTAACCCAACATGCAGTTTAAAAGGCCTTGAATTCTTTAATTAGCCGAAGGCCTGGGAAAAGAGGAATGTTTTTGCCTGGAGCCTAAAGATACGTGATGAAGGTGCCAGAAAGAGTGTAACTCCATCAAGAGCAGGCAACCTATCCATCCGGTTTAGGGAGCTGCCCACTAACAGTGACTCAGTCTTATCTGGATTTGAGCTTTAGTTTGTTGGCTCTCAGCCAGTCCATTACTGAGACAAGCATTGGTCCAGCACATCCACTGCCACACCTGCAGATGTAGAGGAGAAGTAGAGCTGTGTGTTATCAGCAAATTGCTGGGAACCAAACTCCCAAACTCCAGATGACTCCACTTAGCAGTTTCATGTACCGTATTTTTCGCTCCATAGGACGCACTTTTTCCCCTCCAAAAATGAAGGGGACATGTGTGTAGCGTCCTATGGAGCGAATGCAGGCTTCGCTGAAGCCTGGAGAGTGAGAGGCATCGGTGCGCACCGACCCTCTCGCTCTCCAGGCTTCAGGAAGCTATCCGCAAGCCTTGCAAGCCCGGTGGGAGTTCCCGCGGGCTCACAAGGCTTGCAGGCAGCAGCCTGCAGCCCCGGCGAGTGTCTGCAAGCCTTGCGCGCCCGGCGGGAGGTCCCGCCCAGCGCGCAAGGCTTGGGGCTGCAGCTTGTCGCCCGAGCACGGGGAGCCCTCCGGAGGGCTCCCGTGCTTCGGGCGAGTGTCTGCAAGCCTTGCGCGCCCGGCAGGAGGTCCCGCCCAGCGCGCAAGGCTTGGGGCTGCAGCTTGTCGCCGAAGCACGGGGAGCCCTCCGGAGGGCTCCCGTGCTTCGGGCGAGTGTCTGCAAGCCTTGCGCGCCCGGCAGGAGGTCCCGCCCAGCGCGCAAGGCTTGGGGCTGCAAGCTTGTCGCCTGAAGCACGGGAGCCCTCCGGAGGGCTCCCCGTGCTCGGGCGAGTGTCTGCAAGCCTTGCGCGCCCGGCAGGAGGTCCCGCCCAGCGCGCAAGGCTTGGGGCGGCAGTCTGTCGCCCGAGCACGGGAGCCCTCCGGAGGGCTCCCGTGCTTCGGGCGAGTGTCTGCAAGTCTTGCGCGCCCGGCAGGAGGTCCCGCCGAGCGCGCAAGGCTTGGGGCGGCAGCCTGTCGCCCGAAGCACGGGGAGCCCTCCGGAGGGCTCCCGTGCTTCGGGCGAGTGTCTGCAAGCCTCGCGCGCCCGGTGGGAGGTCCCGCCGAGCGCGCGAGGCTTGGGCGGTAGCCTGCAGCCCGAGCACGCGAGGCTTGGGCGGCAGCCGCGGGGGGAATAATTTTTTTTATTCATTTCCCCCCCCCAAAAAACGAGGTGCGTCCTATGGGCCGGTGCGTCCTATAGAACGAAAAATACGGTAGATGTTAAATGTTAACAGCATGGGGATAAAATCACACCCCAAGGAACCCCACAATGAAGGCTCCACTGTGCCAAAGAGCACTCCCTAAGCATCACCCTCTATAAATGACCATCCAAGTAGGACCAGAATCACCGCAAATCAGTACTGCCCAACTCAGGACAGTCACTCCATAAGGATACCATGGTTGACGGTATCGAAAGCCACTGAGAAGTTGAGGAGAATTAACAGGGACACATTTCCCCTGTCTGTCTTCCAACAGAGGTCATCATACAGGGCCACCAAAGCAGTTTCTGTGCTGAAACTGGGCCTAAAGGCTGATTGAAATGAATCTAGAAAATCAGTTTTCTCCAAGAGTGCCTGGTTCTGGTCACTCACTCAAGAAACTTGCCCAAAAAGGAGAGCTTGGCAACTGGCCTGTAATTATTTAGATTTACTGAATCCAGGGAGGGCCTCTTGAAGAACGGTTTTACCATTCCCTCCTTCAAACACCCAGGGACCAGCCCCTTTCACAAGGAGGCATTCATCACCTCCCTGACCCAGCAAGCTGTACCTTCCCTGCTTATTTTTATCAGCTAAGACGAGCAAGGGTCCAGGTCACAAGTGATGGCCCTTACTGATCCAAGCACCTTATTCACCTCTTTGAAACTTACTAACTAAAACTCCCAAGATTCACCTGGTGTAACAGTGGAGTCAAGGTTCCAGTGGATGCAATTAATTTTATCCTCAATATGTTTTACAAACAAATGACAGCGAGCTACTGTTGGTTTTATCATATCCATTGGATCAAACTATAGAAGCCAGCATACTATTTGGAAAAGCTCTGCTGGATGGCACAATGACGATGCAATGGAGGCAGCGAAGTATGACTTTTGCTGCCTTCACTGCCACTAGGTAGGCTTGATGATGAGCCCTCACCAATGTTTGATTGCATTTGAATTGAGTTCTTCTCCACTCGCATCCAAGCTGTCTCCCACCTTGTTTCGTCATCCTAAGCTCTAGAATATACCAGGGATCCAAGCAGGCTGTATTAAGCGGGCCAGGGCTTCAAAGGGAGTGTCAGTCATATGAGCCGGAAAATCCCCCAGAGCCATCTGGAAACCCGTTTGATGCATCAGCCTCTGAAGGAGGACCATCTTAACAGGTCCCCGACATCTACAGAGGGAAAAAAGGGGTTAAACCTAAAGCTCAACAAGAAATGTTGTGACCATGACAGCGGACTGATATCAATATCCCCTACATTCAGATCACTCTGTTCCTACTGAGTTAAGAAAACAAGGTCCAGAGTGTGGCCTGCCACATGCGTTGGGTTGATGACATGTTAGGAAAGCTCATGGTCATCATGGCAGCCATGAAGTCCTGAACTACCCCAGAGCCTCTTTCATGGATGTTGAAATTCCCCAAAATCATCAGTCTGGGAATCTTCAACATCGCCTCTGAGTCCAGCTCTGTCAGCTCAGGCAGGGAGACTGCTGGGCAGTGAGGTAAGTGGTAAACTCCATAGAATCCATAATCTGTCCCGGTTGTCAAGTGCCAGGAACACACACCCTAGATCACCCCCCAACTGGACAGAGAACCTGGAGAGAGAAATAATTTCTGTAGACCACAACAGCCCCTCCTGCCTGAGCCTCAAGTATGTCCCAATGCTGCACTGAGTACCCAGATGGGCACAGCTGGGTGAAACCAACCCCAACCTACTCACCCACCCAAGTCTCAGAGATGCAGGCCAGATTGGCCTCCTCATTCACAGTCAGATCATGAGTGAAGTCTTACTTTGATCTGACCTGGCATTCAGCCACAGATCAGAAAGCAATGAAGCCAATAATAATAATCATGCATGTCATCATGGCCCAAATCATAGAATTCAGTGTTAAAACAGTGAGGGAATTTGAAGGAGTCCTTAAAGTTTTACGGTA